TACCTACCTACCTACCTACCTACCTACCTACCTACCTACCTACCTACCTACCTACCTACCTACCTACCTACCTACCTACCTACCTACTTACCTACCTACCTACCTACTTACCTACCTACCTACCTACCCACCTACCTACCTACTACCTTTCTTTCTTTTCCTTTCTTCTTACAGTCCTTCTTTTTTTCCTAACTCTGCTCCATCTATTCCTTCCTATCTACGTACCTTTCTTGCTATTTTACTTTCATCTTTCCTCCCTTTCTACCTCCCTTTCTTTTTTCTCTTCATACATACCTTCATTCTATTCCTTCCATCTAATCTGTCTTTATTTGTCTTCTTTCCTTTCTACCTTTCTTTCTTTCTATCTTACTTTCTTCCTTTCTTTCTACCGTGCTTCTCTTCTTCTGTTCCTTCTTCCGTCCGCCTCCCTTTTCTCTGAGTAAGCACGATTAACATATTATCACAAATATTATTCTGATTTCATCAATGCTTGGATTTTATATTAAATCAGTAGCTTATGCAAAACAAAAATACTTTTAGAATCATCCTTATTAGTTAGGAATGTTATCATTGTAATCATCGTCATTGAGGTAAATCTTCGCCAAACGTGGAATTGTCGACTAACCATTGCTTGTATTAGGTATTTTCAACCATACATTACAGTGATTATTGTGTCCTATTTCAGTGACCTTCCCCCAAGTGTAGCTTTAACTGACATACTGACATTACCTTATGTCACACTTAATAATTATTTCTTAACGAAACATCTTTCTTCAGCATATCCAAAAAGCCCGGAAATTGGCTACACATAGCAATAAGACGTGGAAACGAAACCATTAGCTTACACTCCACTCTCCTAAAATGGATAAAGAAGCGTGATCAACCCATCAGAGTCACTGACAGTTGTCTTGGAGCAATGTGCAACCCCACTTGCCCAGAGTCACTCAAATTTGTGGACACCGCTGTGGACTGGGGAGAGGTGCTCAACGGCGTTGTTCTGGTTGTGTCACTAGTAATCAGTTGTGTATGCGTTGCAATGAAGATTTATTTTAAGGTCCAGTTAGTTCTTTTGGCACGATCTCGTAAACGATATCTGGATGAGCATGTTGAATCACCACAGGTAAATTATATTAACTATTTAGTTAATTAACTATTAACTCTTTAGTGAGTTCATGATGAACTTGTACGGCAATAAAGCAATGTAAGCCATTAGAAGCTGTATCGACTTTTTCATGAGAATTGTGGTGAGGCAGTTCGAGAGGCTGTTTTGCCGCGTAAAAAGATAAATTCATACCGAAGACATACAAAGCCACACATGATGTTGACTGTTAATAGTAGAATCAATTAGGCCATTTCCGGTTCATTCGCGAGCTTTTCGAATTGTCTTGGTTGTTCGACCATTTTGCAATACTGAGTTTTGTATGACCATTTGGTAAAATATGCAGATCATTGAAGTTTTCACGTACGTTACGCCCCTAGCCACGACGGAAGGGGAGTCTTATTGAAATATGTAGCCAATTTAGGGGGCAGATCATGAATGAGGTGTGGACTAATAGCTGCTGCTTAATTTAAGCGGCATTTGTAAGCTCACTGTCTACCTCGGGTCTACTTCACGGCAGTGTTCAGGCTGAAATTGTAATGCGCACTTGATCATATACATACGTAAAATCGCGCAATAAAAATATTATTATTATTATTATTATTATTATTATTTCTCGTTGTCCTCTCGATCAAATATCAATTATATGCTTTAAGCGATATCCTTACCTAAGAACTTATTTAACTGAACTAATGCGCGCCGTCTGGCTTTCAGGATCTATCCCGAGCACAGGAGGCCCAGGCTCGATTTGCCCGCGCCCGCCTGTGCGGGCTATTTTGAGCAAGTCTGGGCTATTTTGAGACCAAAATAGCCCAGACTTGGCATATGTCACACGAAACTATCCTCGATTTTTCGCTTTTAATGCATTTCTTTCACGACTAATCGATATCTCCTGCAAGAATGATACCGTATAACTCTCAAAACAACGATGCTTTAATCAAAGAGCTTAAATTCGCTCTGAAATCCGTTAGGGAATAACAAAATTCGGCCAAAATATATCCGCGTGCCCGGTTTGCTGTGCAAAAAGCGGAAGTCGTTGAACAACTCAAAAACACTCAACCCTGATTGGACAACGAATTTCAACAAACATTTCAAATTTTTTTAACAAACACAATGTGAAATACAATTTATTATACATATTAACGTACGTACTACAGTTATATTTACATGCAGTAATATTTACACTTTATAACGTTTGTGAATAGTTTTGATTGTATGATTGAAATTATTACAGTACTGTTAAAAATATTACAGTATTATCATGCGAGCAACATAAAGCAATATAGTTGACTAATTTACTCATGAATTATTAATCAGTTTTTGATGAGTGAGCAAGCTGTACCTGTAAATAAGATTAGAATAGCACGTTTTTGTGCCATCTTGAATCACGGAATGAACCAAAAATTGCCATGATTGTTGTTTAAATGACAATCAAATGACGTCTGCAATGTTTTTGGTAAATACATACAAGAAAAGACGAAGGCATAGAAGGGCGGAAGCTGTTTTCGCTTGGGCCGTAACGTTTGACGAACGAAGCAAAAATCCGATATACAATGTAAAAAGAGCTTAAATATCTATTTACATTTATTGGATCGGGGTGGGGGCTGTGACTATGTTTCAAGCAGCAGACGAGCTAGATACATACTGTCAACTAATACATATAATTTTTGTTCACAGATTGCTAATGTCTCAGTTAGAAATGTAAGTATACTTGAACGAACCGATGACGTATTGTTAAGGTAGAATGGTATCACTTTTAATCTGGTAAATTCATGTTGGGAGTTTTGGATGATATCGTGGGCATTTATACGCAGCATGCTTAAAATATTTTGGGATCGAGGCAGCTTAGACTTAGGATATTCCATTTATATTTCGACGCTACTATTTCGCATGAGAAAACTGAAACATTGGAATTTATTCCCCACTTACAGTATTCCCCGTTGTATTTATATGGACCAAGGTTTTGTGTATTCTCATATGGACCATGCACGGTTACAGTATGTGTACAAACAGTCGTACACATACCCAGGGCAGTGTGTCAAACGGTCGAACAATTAAAAGGTTGCTAACTGTGTGAACTACAAAATAAAGCTGAAGCAATGTAATTTTGAGAAGAATGCCAAAAAGTTTTAAAGTTTTGAACACTTTTCATCGCAATAAAAATTTGCCTCTTAAGGACGTTATTCATAACCACCTTTCATGTTAATGATAACCGTGGTTAACGTTATATATAATCACAACCATGGTTCACGTTAATCCTAACCATAGTTCATGTTAATCACAAGCATGCTAACGATAACTATAATCATATAACCATTGTTCACGATAATCACACCCATGGCTCACGTCTGACAAATGTGACGCCCCTTGTGGAAATCAACCTTGTGGAAATCAAAATTTTGTTCTAGCTCTGAAACAGTGGTCGTGAAAAGTGGGTTGGGGGTTGGATTTCAAGATTTGAATAAGGAGGATATTGGTAAAAATGTGTGGGACAATTTAAAAAAAAGGGGGTGAAAGACCCTTTCGGAACTATGTAAAATTCGCATTAAAATAATTTGTTCGCAATGCGGTATAACACTTCAATGTGGAAATAGCTGCATGAAGCTGCATGTATTACTGATAATAGAGCGACGGAATCAAATTTTGTTTTGAATCATATCTAGATTGGCTGTTGGGCTGGCAACTTGATGCTGATTCACAAACATCGTGATTTCCCGTCAGATATGTTCACAATAATGTGCGCAGTTGGAGCCACCATTATGATTGGTAAGATAGAAAATGGTAGTTTGTATTTAAGAAACAGAAAACATTATCTGTGTTTCTATATACAGTTATAGAAACACGCGCCTGCAGATTTTCATTGGGAAACGGGACAGTACGACGAGTTCTTCCAAGTTACATTGAGTTCTCCAAAACTACCTCAAGTGTTTTTGTCATAGCCGGCTTTGGGAGGTGGCCATGCACCTCCCCTGAGATACAAATTCTGCATATTCAAATGACGATTGAACAGTTGAATACATCCGTATTCGAATTCTTCCAGTCTCGGCAACATACATGTTATAGTTGAACTGCAATTTAATACCGACGCATGCAGAACGCGTTATTTGGATGCGCAGTCGGGACTTTGAATTACTTATATTAACTTAGCAGTGTTTTCATCTAGGTGAAGTTGATGGTTCGACCCAATCCTATAGTTTAGAAGAGTTTTTGACTATTAACATGAGTAGCAAGGTGAGATAAAATCGTTCTCAAGTCATGAACTGCACCAGTATATCACATGTTACCAAGTAACAAGCATACTGCTGCATTTTCATCATCTTTTTTTCATCATCATTGTTTCTTCTGTATCCTTGTTTTGCATCTTCAGGTGGTTCTTAGAATGGACATCCCGTTTTCTACTGCTGATGAATTTGTGGGGACGTATAAAATTATGCCGAGGCATCAGGTATACATTGTGTAGTTGTCAAGAAAAGCATTGATATTTACTTTTACAAAATACGATTAGACTTATTTAGATCGAGGACGCGGACGCCAAAGACGACGTGAAAACGGCGTGCTGTGCCCATATATGGACATGCCATGCCATTTTACGTCATTTTCACGTCGTCTTCGACGTCCGCGTCCTCGATCTAAATTAAATCTGTCTATTATCTCTCTATTACGGAAAGTTTCTCATATCCTGAGAAAATTCTTATATATATGTTCTGTAAATTTATCTTTTTTAATCGCCAACACTCTTTGTTTGTATTTTTGAAAGAGTTAAGGCCTGTTCAAACAAGACCAATATGTTGGTCCAACATTATCCCAGTTTTGATTATAGCAATTTCGCTTGGGTCTGAAAAGATGTCCGCTCAAGTGTGCAGTTGTTTGGAGCAACTTTTGAATATTTACATTGATTGGTCGTGCTGACCACTTCCCGCATGATCAATCATGGCCAATCATAATTAACTTTTGCTAAGCATTTCCAACGATCAATGCAACCGAAACATTGTTTTCAAATGTGTCTAGTACATAAACTTGGTTTATGCGGAGATCTCTGTGTAGATACGATCGCTTTACTTTTTTTCCTTCGGTACAATCTTCACAATTTTCCACGGCAAACGCCAACTGCCGCCGATATACGGTCGAAAATGAAATTATCAACGGGCAATTTGGGCGACGAAGATTCTAATTTAACTGATTTTTCAAAACATTGCCGCTATTATGAACAGCTGGGTGTTTATTAAAAGAAAAAAATAATTTTGAGTTGTTTTTCCTTATTAGTTTGTTTATTAGTCACGTTTTAGAATTATCTTATTATACTGGCTGCATACGACACGACCACAGAATGGAGACTTTATACAGACGGGAGCCGACGTCTTAGTTTTGGCTATGATTTTGGGATAACTGTTGCAATGCTATCGCAACAATGTGTTTCTTCAACATGTTGCAATGCTATGGCAACAATATGTTTCTAGCCCGTGGGTTTACGAGTGGAATTCACCCCCTTGAAAATATTCATTATTGACAACAAAAACTTGGCTGCCGAACTCAAAGGCATTTGCTGACGAGGATTTATCAAAAGTGCGAGGACTTGCCGTTATACGTGCTAGAGAGCTGCGACTGTGTTGAGTTTTCTTTAGCAGAAATATCGTCTATTATAAAATGTCAACTGTACATGTATGGGGACTTTGGCTGGAAGTTTTGTCAATGTTTCATATTTATTTTAGAATGCGCATGCGTACGTGAATGCCGGATTCAGAGCCTCGATGAATTCAAATTTTATTGTAAAGGGGACTCCAAGTTTAGTATTTGGTGGCGTTAAGCTTTCTCCGGTGAGTAAAATCGAATCTTTGTTCCTGGAGCTGGTTGTCCAAAAGCCGTTTATATTAATCCTTTTAATCCTGAGTTAACGAAAAACTTCAAAGCAATATTCCCGACAGTTCTTTATAAACATGGAAGCATTGCCATGCCCAAACGAAGTTAGGCATCGTTTTATATTTGATGCGTGAGTTTGTTAGTCTGTTGGGAATCATAAGTCTTGGTATTTATTCAAAAGTAGTATGTCTTCGCGCCTGTGGTGCACTTGTTTTGCGTATGCTCCATAGCACCGCACTGCAGTACTATGTCTGTCTAGAAATATTGTCGGGATCAATAGAAGTATTATTTATTAAATATTCTAAACAAACGGGCATGCCGAAATACAAAAAAACGAAACAGCAGGTTAATTTATAATCCAGGATTACGGGGCTGAACTAACTTACTAATTAGTATTATTTGTGCTTCATTTTGTTGTTGTTGTTTTTGTTGCCCCAATTAGTTCCTCACATTTATGTAGCTTTCACTTTCCTATAAAATGTGCTGTACATAATAATACTGTTTAAGGGGTAATTCATTAAAGCATTAATTAAAACTGAACGAGCCAGCGACCAACCACATTATGAAAACGACATTTCCAGCTATGTTTAATTATTTCGTTTAGTTGCGAGCAAGTGGGACACAACAATATCTTTCTGGAAAGAACATTCTTGACTTGGGACACTAAAAGGTAATTAAGCGATTTATAGTCGGTGCACAGTTTTAACGAGTCCGTGTACAATTCGAAGCTAATTTATTGCTTATAATATACAGTAAGTGGGATATAACACGTAATTTGATTGGCTAACGCTCGTGCATTATAATGCCATAATTCACTGTCTTGGTTTTTCAGTTTCTCTGGGTTTGTCTCTGGTTTCTTGCGAAAAGAATTATAGGGTGCAGTTTAGTAAACAACACGAGAAAAACTTTAAAAAGCCACAGGAATACCAAATAAAAATAGAAAAAAAAGCTACAAAAGCTGAACAAATTTCACCAAGAAAATACCTTAAATGCTTCAAATTAAAAAAGGTTGACACATTTTCGGCGAAACACAAAAAACATAATGATAATTTCAGCAAATGAAAACAAAACAACTCGACGAAAACCTCGGACTGCACGGCTATCGTGCCAAATCAGATTCGGTCATATGTACGACCTTTATGTGTATCACCGTTTGTACATATAACTCCGTATTTAATTTAAAGGTTGCATTTCATTTTCAAATTTTACTTATAGGATGTTTGAGTGTATTGGAGAAAGAAATTGTACCAGAATCAACGCCACTCACTGCAAGTGCGGAATATCGCAAGAGTTTAGCGATTGGCCTGTTTTATAAGGTAAATTCAGCTTTTCCTCCTGGATGCTTTTGGACTTGGTTTAAGTTAACTTTCTAATTACCTCTACCAGATGGTTACAAGTTTTCACTTTGTATATGCGCTTGTGTTTGATGTTTGTGTCCTTGTGACTATATGTGTTTGTCTCTCACGGCGATAACAAAAAAAAATTACCAACTCATTAATACGAAAATGTGTGTGGGCTACTAGAACTAATCCAAGGACAAATCGATTAAATTTTGGATCACTTTGAATCAAAATTGGATCAGAAATTAGCAAAAATTTGTCTAGGGGGCTGTTTATATGAGGCGAGATAGCTCGGGTACCGAGGTAGCTCGCTTTAGGTGAGATCCCGCCTTTGTTAATATTTCCTACTAGATTTCATCTTGCGTTTATATGAGAACCGAGCTGGCCCGCCTAATCGAGGTCCCGCTTCGTGTGACCCGAGATCTCAGCTAAACGCATTTACCCGAACTGGCTCGGCTTTTAATTAAAATAATGTCTTTGTGCGCATGCCCAAAATCCAAATTGACTTTCCGCGAAAATTTGTATTTGTTTTCACAAGTCAGCCCAGCCCGCCCCAAAAGTTTCATGTAAACACTTGGTGAAATTCATCTCGGGGAAGCGAGTCAGTTCGGGTACCCGGGCTGGCTGGCTTCCGTATAAACAGCCCCTAGCTTTCCGTGTTTGAGTAACTCTTGTACTCTCAGGTTACTGGAACGATAACTTGGAACGATAACTTGAAGCCATATTGTAAAATCTTCGTACGTTTACACTCTGAACTGACACCATCGAAGTTTTTTCTTTTAACCAAAATAACCAGAGAAATTATTGTTTTCACGAGGAAAAGCTTGGAATACAAAAGTTTGAACCTGATTTTTTTGACAGTTCCAAGTTTTGTACATCCCACAAATGCTAAAACATTTATTGTAACAGTTTTCTATTTCGAATATTACACAAGTTTGAACGTGCCGAAATAAAATTCACTTCTCTACTGCCCCCAAAATTTGAAACTTTTGGACGGTACCATTTGTTGTTTTGTACTGAAGTAAAGGTATTCTTGCATGTCTATTTTTAGCTTGATCCTTGCTCAATTGCAGGCAGTTTATTGTGTGAAGAAAAAATTCTGAGTTTTGTATTTTCGGCAGCACACCTACATGGCGGCTATATCATGAATGGCTTCAAATATGGCGCCTAAATATCGTTGCAGTTCCGTTTGACTTCATTGGTTCTCCCCGAGTCCTGTACAGTGCCACTATATAATGTGCGTCTCATCGCCCACTGTATAAGCGCCCTGGTAAAATATACGACCAACGCAACCGCTAGACATAGTCACGTGGTTCCTTTGCCGTTTGCGGCTTCATCGAAAAACCTAAAATTTAAATGTCACTAATAGTTATTTTCTTATAATAGTTTTACCTTACGCTTCTTGGTGAGAAAGCAAGTGAGAGAGTACGTTCAGCTGCTGTTCCCTATGTGCGACCAATATCGTCAGGTCAACAGAGTTTTGGTACAACACCAAGTGAATATCCTTTGACTAAACCAATGACGAAAACAACAGCAAAATTACAGGTAAACTTAGCCTTGACGTACCTAAATGTGAGAACCGTCCTCTGAGATATGAAACAGATAGTTTGTTTCAATACACGCTTCCGGAAAGTACACCTCAGCCATGGAGCAAACTAACACCACATACACACGAAAACGAGACTCTGCGGCCAAGGTGACGTATTTTCCGAACGGTTGTATTCTATTTCATAATGTTTAAATATTGGGATCCGGTGTGGGTACTGTATCCACTTCTATAGTTCAAACCTGGCAAAGAAAACATAACAAGTTTTCGTTTCTTTCACGTCTGGTTATTCCGGATCCAGCTATTCTTGGTAGAGCACTTCCATCGACATAAGTATGGTCGTTAATTATCTTATAGAGTAAGACCATGCAAGTCCAAATATTCGTGCCAATAAGTTATTGGTAGTAATTAACAAGTTGATCATGTAATCTTGTTATGTACGATACATTGGTGCATGATAAAACCAAGATTTAAGATGTACGTGGTTGCTCTTCTCAAAGGTATAAATGCATGTGTACCTGTATATTTATATTTATAGGCTTCTGGTGAGGCTCAGTACACAGACGATATACTCAAGCAAGAAGGAGAACTCTACGGTGCATTTGTCACGACAACACAGGTACGAATATCCAATGCTGTATGGAATCCATTTTGATAAGGTCAATTCAAACTTGCAATCCTAGTTGAGAAGTCGCCAGGATGCTATGTTTAACATGCAAAGCTTCGCCAACATCCCAATGCATGAGCTTGTTGTGTCTAGTTTAAGTTTAGTTTAATTGACGGAGGAAAGTTTTCATCTGCGTTTGTATGTGTGTGTGTGTGCCTGACTGTGTGTGTTTGTCTGTCAGCACAATAATTTTTAAGCGGTAATTTTTTTAATAACTTTTTATTAACCGAACGCAAGGTCTTTACAGAGAAATATCGGACCGAGGTCTTTTTTGCCCGATACTTCTGTAAAGACCGAGCAAGCGAGGTTAATAAAACGTTTCTTATACGGCATTTATGGGCATTTATACTTTCAAATTTCAAATAGTTTTGCTGTTTTGTTTTAAAATGCATGGGTTACGTACGGGAAAATAATGGACCGCTGAAAGTGCTTTTCAGCCAATCACAGTCCGCCATTTCACCGGAAGTGATGCTTGCCATATAATAATGTCGCGTGTTTGCGATGAAATTTAAAGTGTTCTAAACCTAAAATGATTCCGGCATCCCCCTCAAAATTACCTTGTTTTGGCTTTATTTTGTGGTTTACACAGTTAGCGAACTTTTTAAATGTATCTGGCGGTTGAGACAATTATCATTGATGGTGTAAAATTGACGCCATATAGCAATATAAGCAAAACTTACTGAACCTCTGACGTAATTTTCTCTTCACTGGCGTACCATCTAAAATCTCTTTATTTTAGCATAATTTTACAGATAAAGTCGCTTGAGGAACGTATCAAAAATTTAAAACCAAGTGGAAAAATATATTCGTTAGTTTTGGGCGCGTGTTACTGTAATACGTATATTAGTGTAATTACATAGGTGATTATTGTAAATTCTCCATGCTGATTGGTTGCTGTTTTGATTATAACGCGATAATCATCTAAGCGATTTTCCAAATGGCGGCCGAAGCCGTTTTATCAATTAATTAAATGACAAAAAATGTGTATTTTTTTACCACTGAATTCGAGGACAAAGTAATGGAAAATGTTAATATGGAAATTAGTCCTGAATAACAGGTTGATACAGTGTTTTGTTTTTAAGGGAAACTGTAAACTTGCAAATGTGGACGTATCTCAAGTCTTGGTAAGAAATTTTTACACTCAATATATGTATTTTTTATTATTTTCTTAAGAGCCAGTTATTAGACAATTATAGGGAGCAATTCCATTATACCTTTTCATAGATACTACAGTTTAGCATATACTCTGGAGGTACTAGTATAGTTGTTCAGCTCTGGATATCCTAGCCCCTGTGGACAAAACCAAAATGGCTTCCCGTTTCGTTACGGTTACAGACGAGCAAATTTTTGTACTAGACGAACCTGCACTTCCGCCAAGCGAATAAAACAATGTATATAGAGGCATTTTTTAAAGTTGTATTTCCTATGGTGAAAAATTATATTTACCGAAAGCGTATAAGCACTGTTTTGTTCTACCACTATATATTAGCGGAGCTGAAATACAAATTGTTTCAAAAATATTTTCGGTTTTTTTTTGTCATTTTTGTTTAGTTGTGGTATGTGCTAAAACAATTGTTCACCTCGGTGTCGGTGAATAGTGCTAGGATATTCACCTCAACCACCTCGGACTTTTCGAAAATTTCAGATTTTTTTGCCCACTCCGTACCTGTCAGTGAATATCATTGTACTGTCTATATCTCCAATTCGGCGCAAATAATTGTTAAATTTACACAGCAAACATTTTTGGCTCAAAGAGTGCGCATATATATATATATATATATATATATATATATATATATATATATATATATATATATATATATATATATATATATATATATATATATATATATCAGCTTAACATTTATACATGAATTGGTTTATTTGGTTAGAGCCCTGCACAGGATTCTCTGGACCGCGGTTTCGATATATTCCTGCCAGAAGGTCGATAGTTGCATTTTTAATGCGCAACCGCTCCTGATTAGGTCTAATAAACGTATTCCGCTCGAAATCTCCATCTACAAATCCCTTAGTTAAGACGAATCGATGCAGTAGGCAGTAACATAGCTACGGTGTACCCGTGGGAAGCATTAGCGATCTAAAAAACATATAGTGACAATATTCAATGAGAAAATGAAGATATAATAATGTAGTAAGATAAAAAGTTGTTGCTGATGTCCTCTATACGACGATGTATGCCTACTTTAGAAAATTCCTGGCGTGTTCAAGTATATTTGTGGCAAAGATATTCCTGGAGAGAATAATTTTGTTGCTGGTGTCGATATGTTCATTGGCAAAGAAAAAATATTTTCTGATGGAGATGTGGACTATGCTGGCCAGGCAGTTGGCCTTATCATTGCAAGTAAGTAAATTTCGTTGCTGAAACGAAGTTAAACATTGCGTAAAGCCGGTTAGAGAAGAGCAAGTTTTCTATGACAAGTTTTCATGTGGCAAGTTTTATTTGCATGTGTATACGTACAACAAATTTTCTATGACAAGTTTTTGGTTTTCTGAACGCCTCGATAGTTATTATTAACTATTATACAACGATAGATCACTGACCAACCGCATCCAAGTGCTCAAATTACTTTGCCCAATTTTCTTTGTTTACCCGTACAGACAAACAAGAATGCTAGCTTTTGAGCAAGTGTACTATATGTAGTCCGTGTGTTGTGACCTCGAAAAGTGCCTAGAAAACGATTTTCATTAAGCATGTCTTACTGCCTTCGATCTGAATTATTTTTACGGGTACTAACACGTTCGAACACGAGTTCAAATCCGAAAAGTTCCCGCTCCGTAGACCCGCTGCAGTTTTCTCACAAACTGCTATTTTATCTCTAATTTCACAGCAAATTTTTTCATTGTTCAACGACACGGATTGATGACGATACACGATTATGTCAATCAAAAGGACCGATTTCTATTAACCATTTAACAAAAGACCGGTTTTGTGCGTATCATTATACAATTACTTTATGGTTTCCGTGTTTGGATGGCCTGATCCAAACACGCGGGAATGTTGCGAGAGTTAAGAAAAGCGAGCGAAATCACGAGCCGAAGGCGAGTGATTTTGCCCGCTTTTCTTAACTCGAGCAACATTCCCAAGTGTTTGGATCAGGCCATCCAAACACGGAAACCATAAAGTAATTGTTTTATAAAATAACAACAACACGGTAGTCTTCCGTATTTGGATGGCCTGATCCAAACACGGCTTTCGACCAATCAGAATACGCGTTATATACATGTTATTTTATAATTTGAGTTATGCAATCTTATGCGTGTTGGACGTAAACAACATATCTTGTCTACAACTTTGAGAAACTACAGATAATTCCTTCTAACATCCTTAGTTCTGGATCTATCTCTATAAAATTACAAGGACGTTAATGTTAACTCTTTGGGCTATGTCTCTGGGCTTACATGCGATCAAAATGTTTTATACAACGATGTAAAACGGTAATCTATATGTAATGGATCAGCATTATACAATTACTTTATGGTTTCCGTGTTTGGATGGCCTGATCCAAACACGCGGGAATGTTGCGAGAGTTAAGAAAAGCGCGCGAAAACACGAGCCGAAGGCGAGTGATTTTTGCGCGCTTTTCTTAACTCGAGCAACATTCCCAAGTGTTTGGATCATGCCATCCTAACAGGGAAACCATAAAGTAATTGTTTTATAAAATAACAACAACACGATAGTCTTCTGTGTTTGGATGGCCTGATCCAAACACGGGTTTCGACCAATCAGAACACGCGTTATATACATGTTATTTTATAATTAAATTTCCAACCTATTTTCTGAGATGTAATTCAAGAGATAACTTATCATTGCATTTGAACTATTACATCAGTTGGTGTTATACTGTGCGATAAGCGAATATTATTGGAAAGAGGGCTTCCATATACGTTGAAATCACCAAATAAGCAGCTCATGCATGTACACATTTCTCCACTTCGTCGTAAGTTTACAGAGTATATTTTATACTTTGTCACTGATCTTTGTCTTTGATGTGAACATTTATTCTTCTAGTTTAAGGTTATTTAAGATTGATTCTGTCGTAAGTGTTCTACCAGCAACCTATCGACAATATTTCATTTTAGCGTTGTCTCTGCCGTTACGTTGGCTTCGCGATACTTTTGTTTTAAATACCTTGATCGCGTTAAAAGAGTTATTTTTCAGGCCAGTGACATAGCCAAAAGACTTCGCATTAATTAATGTCTTTGTGATTTTATAGAGATATCTCTAGAACTGAGGATTTTAGAAAGCGTTGTCTGTACTTTCTCAAAGTTGTAGACAAGATATGTTGTTTACGTCCAACATGCATAAGATTGCATAACTCAAAATGATTCGAGCAAAACCGGACTTTTGTTAAAAGGAAGACTGGCTAATAGAAATTTGTCCTTTTGAGTGACATAATCGTGTATCGACCGTGTCGTTGAACAATGAAAAATTTGTCGTGAAATTATCGAAGATAAAATAGCATTTTGTGAGAAAACTGCCGGTCTACGGAGTGGGAACTTTCGGATTTGAACTCGGCGTGCTTGAAAGTGGTAGTTCCCGTCAAAATATTTCAGATCTAAGACATGCTTAATGAAAGTGAACTATATTGGGTCACAACACACGGACTATACTTGTCATAGTAAAAATTGGCAAATATGGCCATACAGGCGAGCAAATGAAACTTGTCATATGAAAACTTGTCGTAGAAAACTTGCTTGTCTGTAACCGGCTTAAGTGGCTGTCTCACTAAGAACCATGCAGAGCGTTTCAGGTTGAAAATTAGATTTCCTTTATATTTTTACCATGAACTACGTTTGTCCTAAAAGATATTAAACTAATATTAGAATTTCTAAATTTTTTTTTTTTTTTAAGTTATAATGAATTTTTGTCTGGACGTCAGCGACACTGAAATTTGACCCCGAAAATGGCGGTCAAATATGTGTTAAATTGTGCATCATAACTCGGAAAGTTTCGCGTCAAATTAAAAACTTTTTTCAGCGTATTGAGACATATTCTTCTTCTTTTAGAATGTTGAAAGAATTTGAATTAAGCCTACTAGTCTCCATCCAAGGAAGTCGGTATTTTCGTTCGCCAAACAACTAATGATTAGGTACAAAATTCAAACTAAAAGTTCTCAAAAGTGCAACCTACCTGGTGTCTAAAACACTTTTAGGGTTAAAATAGAATACTTAAAGTTATGTTATTCGCAATAAAACTTGTCGGCAAAAGGAATATGAAGGAGTGCAAAATTCATAAATTATGGCTATAAATAGCTCTATTGTTTACCTTTGTGATAACCGGAAACACGTTCAAGGTTGCTCGCGGAGTTTTTATAGTGATTAATATATTGCACAATCATTGTATTTAACTCAGAAAAGTTTAATTCGATCGAAGAAATGCGACGGATCTTTTAGGTCTAAAACGGTCAGAAGAAATAAATTCGTCTAGGACGTTGTATCCCTCATGACCGACAGGTACAATGCCAATGTCGAAAATGTGTGTTGCCATAACGTCGCATCGAATTAATAAATCCATGAACTTGTTATTATATTCTGTTAAAAGTTTTCCGCATTGTCCATTTGGCAGATTTTTTGTCCTTTCAAGTAAACCATTCAATTCATCGTATAAAACGATCTTAGTTGCATTGACATGGACTAGCTGCGACATGTACTGAGATCTGTCCTTTATCTTTTATCTATACAGCAATAATAATAATTTTACAGTAGTTTGCAGCTAATGGCCATTCTGTGAATAACTTTCAACTTCAATTGGTATTTTTCGGCAAAATTTGATTTGTCTCATAATAGTAGTATAAATTATAGCAATAAAAAATACATAACATCGTAGTTTGCATGCGGCGTTTTTAGTACTTGATTTGAGTTAACGATACTGTTCCGGGAATCCAGGCTCCACACACTCGCGGACCAAGAACAATGACATCTCTCGACATGTCCAAGTTAGCGGTCTGGGAGATTTGTCCGCACCTGCACAATTTAGTTATTTATTTGGAAACATGTGCATTGCCCATCATGGATGATATTTTATCTATGAGAGTCTGTTTTTTATTCTTTGATTTGAACTGAAGTTCAAAATGCGCACAAATTTCTTTCAGCATCGTTATTTTAAAAACAGATAGGCTCTTCTGTTTGTACATGTCACATAAATGATAAATCATACGCGTCGTGGTATACAGCCGATGGCATACGTCGATCAGCAAGCATTTTCCACAAGTTGTCAATTACAAGCATTTCTCTTCGTGCTTTCGCCTCAAAATGAAGAACACGTAAACTTACGCATTCTCCTTCATGAAGAACACGTAAACTTACGATAGTTATCTCCAGTTTCATCTGCGTCATTAAAGTACTAATTACAACACTTGAAGAAGTAAAAGTAGCGTAATACTTACGAGATCCTATTTGAATTAATTTCCCATAAAGTGTAGTACTAAAAACTGTTTTTGATAATGACACATTGAAAACATCTCTTCCTGTACACTTACGAACAGGACCCGAATGGAGGGAATACTGGCATGGTCTTAGCGGCCTCCAAAATCGTCCCAAATTATGACGGTGGGACGGACAAATAAACATCATGTTAAACTGGTTTTCAGTAAGATTGAACATTCCCACGCGAATATCAATTAACTCGTTCTCTCTCAAGTTCGATTTAGAAAGATGACAGTTTGATAGTTGAACACTCATATCTTCCTTACAATCAAATAAGCAACTAATCTCCTGTAATCCACGACTTCCACCACAAGAAATTCCACCAACGCCAACAAATGAACAACTTTTCTCCATAATCAAAACTAAACTAGTAAGCTTCCATATCTAAAAACGGCACTTCTTTGCGTTAATTTTCTGTTAAACAAAACAGGTGTGGAAATTACAAAGGAACACTGTCATTGTCCATTGATATTATTTAAGAAGTAAGTTTAAAAAACACTCCAATAATTATTTTTAACAATGGCGCATTGAAGAACAAAAACAGCTTCTATACATTGCGTCTGCTATTATTTTCTGCTATTATTGTCGTGGTTTTTTATTATTATTTTATAAATTAGAGAAACTTAAAATTGGCTACAGACGTAATCCCCTTGGCATACAGACTACAGTAACACAATTTACTATTAAACCTCGAAATTTTTTCGACAACTCCCGAACGTTTGATAAAGATTAAATTTGCGAGATTAAATTGTTTGTTGAAGAATTAACACGCGAAAAATAACTATCCAGGTAGCAAGTTAACTATAAAGTTTAGTATATTGTTGCTTTCGTAATATAGCGCGTATTATATTTACGGCACACTCATCAGTACATATTAAACAACGATAATATACTGTATTGTACATTATGTTGGCGTGCAACTATTTAGTAATTTTAATCCAGTTTAAAACGATCAATTGTAAAGGCTTTCCGAAAGCTTAAAAAAATTACAAGGCGGTGTTTGTATTCAAATATAAGAACTTATAAACACTATTTTATATTTATAATAATTGGCAATTGCTGATATAAATTTATAAAAGCTCCGCGAGTAACGTTCAACGTGTTTCCGGTTATCACAAAGGTAAACAATAGAGCTATTTATAGCCATAATTTATGAATTTTGCACTCCTTCATATTCCTTTTGCCTACAAGTTTTATTGCGAATAACGTAACTTTAAATATTCTACTTTAACCCTAAAAGTGTTTTAGTCACCAGGTAGGTTGCACTTTTGAGAATTTTTAGTTTGAATTTTGTACCTAATCATTAGTTGTTCGGCGAACGAAAATACCGACTTCCTTGGATGGAGACTAGTAGGCTTAAAATAAGATGTACATTCAAATTCTTTCAACATTCTAAAAGAAGAAGAATATGTCTCAATACGCTGAAAAAAGTTTTTAATTTGACGCGAAACTTTCCGAGTTATGATGCACAATATAACACACATTTGACCGCCGTTTTCGGGGTCAAATTTCAGTGTCGCTGACGTCCAGACAAAATTCGTCATAACTCAAAAATAAAGAAAAATTTAGAAATTCTAATATTAGTTTAATACCTTTTAGGATAAAGGTAGTTCATGGTAAAAATTTATGCACCAAGATGCACGAGCTTAAGATGCATGCACGATCTTAAGATGCACCAAATCTACAGCCCTGGGCAAACTAGGAAACATTGTTTAGGAAACATTGTTTCTGCCAATGTTTCGCCATGTTTCCCAAGGTGGACAAACACTAAGAAACAATATTTCCGCAACAAAAATCACACTTGGGAAACATGAAATGTTTCCGAATTTGATAGGAAACATTTCTGCTTCTCGGGAAGCAAATTGTGTTTCTGTAACGATGTTTCCACGGGTAGGTAAACACAAAAACACTTGAGGAAACATGGCGAATCACAATGTTTCCGCAACAATGTTTCCTAGTTTGCCCAAGGCTTACGACGCGGACGTGACATAAAAACCGTTGCTAATGTTTGGAATCCAGTTTTATTATATGCAGCTTCACTTGTGTCTCTAACTTTGTTTACCAATTGACTTGTGTCTTTTATCCGTGTAGTGAAACTGTAGCAATAGTTACAGTTTTTGTCCACGACCGCGTCGTAGATTTGGTGCATCTTAAGCTCGCTATTGTCTATAAAGAGCACCAAGATGCAAACGGTACGTATTATAAGAATGTGTATACACCCGCTAGTAATCGGAAGCCGAGCTTGGGCAAACAGTTTCTCAAATTTCATGTATTTGGACCATTTGGTCATGAAACTTGAAAGAGCCTGAACATATTTCCCTGGAGTTAAATAAAAGAGGAGATGGTTAGCAATGTTTTTTTATGTTTTTATGGGGTTTTTTCTAAATTAATAAAACATGAATGGATTCCAGAACAACCTGGGTTCTGGATTCCGGATTTCTCAGTTATTTGGATTCCGGATTCCACTGTCTGGATTCCGGATTCCAAGACTCTGGATTCCGGATTCCTAAACCAACAAAAAGTCGGATTCCGGATTCCGGATTACCTCACAAGGGGCGAACAGGCGCACTGGTATGTAGATTAGTAGATATGACTGAAGCGTTATTGCTATACATAATACAGTCGCTTGGTAATCTCCTCTCACGAAGCATTATTGTATTACACAGACGTTATAATGTGTTTAGTTTCGAAGGGAAGAATATTCTTGCCTTCCAGCCTTCGACGCAATGGTTGGTAACATTACACCAGCCGATCTGTGTAATGACAACAGGATAAACGCTTATAATTTTAACACATACGATAGATACTGTATACTATATGACTATTAAAACAACATTGCTACATGGTTGTACTTGTTTTAACTATTAGCGCTAACTGCCAGGCAAACTGCAAACTTCAAGATTCAATGTTTTCGGAAAAGCAAACACGCTGTTCTTAAGTGGTATCACTTGTGCTTAAAATTGCATATTTCCATCGCTCCAGCGACTTTACGCTCCGTGGAGCGTTTTGTTAATTCATCAATTAACGCCAGTGACCTTGCATGACAACATGCGTAATATCGGTTTACGCGTCTGAGGTGTGGCTTTTGGCCGAGGTTTGATCTTTATTCTACAGTAATTTGGCGACATGTTCCATGTGGAAATCGGTGTAAATCAAGTTGGGTGTGAATCATTCATTCGAGAATATTTAATCCTATCCTATATATAGACAACAAATATATTGAAATCACAAATTTTACCTTGCCGGGCTTAGCTAAATAATATAAATTCTTTATCTCGCAAGTGTTGTAGAAATTGACCTACGTCATTTTTAAGGTCATAATACATTTTGTATTGTCTTCAAACTTCAAAAGTTGCTTGTCATTGCTCACACCGAGTGTTGAAAGACTCACGGTTAATTATAATCCTTTTTCGTCATGTTTATAATTGCTGCACCTTTTGACGCAAAATATGTTTGATCCAGCAGCGCGTGGTTTGATATAAATTTCTGCGCAAGTTTGATATATCTCAGTCTCGTGTTCGGACAATACGCAACATCGAAATGGCGATGAATCGTGTTTTCAAGACTTTGCTTTTGCTTTCTTGTTTGTGCGACTCTATTTGCGCTCTTCGTTTATCTATCAAGCCGAGGAAAAACAGGCCCAGGGGTATGTAGATTTGTATTTATACCGTATTTATAATGAAGTGGCAACTTTGAAGGAAACCAAAATTTATTGAACTTATTTGCCGCTTGCTTTAAACAAATCCAGTGACCAGTGTAATTCATGTAAACAAGTGTTGCTTTTACTCTTTTTATAGGCCATTCCAACTGATTAGACAGATTTAGACTTTCAATTAGTTTTCCATCCTCCCCATGAGAATAACCAAAATCCACAGTTTGCGAATAATCTATCGTTCATGCTATTTGGCCGTTTTGTCCAAAAGCATGACATGAAGTATTTGAGTTAATAGGATTGCATGAACGTTTCGGCTAGCTAGCTATAGGGTAGGAACAAACTTAGAGTTCGGGCAAGACGGCCAAGGGTAAGGATAATGGTTATGTTATAAATTGAAATTGTTCCGCTGTTAATTTTAAGGTACAATATCAACAAATTCGTTCCAGATTCAAAGTTCAGGTTATAATAAATGCCTGACAGCGAGCTATGTAACACAACGTGGTGTTTACAGAAAAACATTCAATGGAAAAACACAGACCTACTGTTATTTCCCTACAACTAGTGTAGCGCTATATTTGAGCGACTGCGTTTACCTCTCCGCCAAGCAGAGCTGGCGCTGGACATCAGGTGCACGTCTTCAGTCAGATTTAAATCAACAATGTCTTACTGTGACCAGTGTATGGAACGGGTACCTAGGTAAAACATATGGAGCATCACTACAACCTTGCAATTCTACTACGAGCGACCAAGGTTGGGTCTGTAATGTCGGTTATTTAAAGCTGAAGACCAAGAACTTGTATCTTGTGCCATTCATATATAGTGGGCGCCGAAGGCCTAGTGGTGGTGTTACTGTTACTGTCAAAATCTACATTCCCTATACCACAGGCACAGTTACTGTTAAAATGGGATACAATATTAGCCAAACTCAGCATAGTTTTACATCGTAGAACAATCGGTGATTCCCGAGCCTATGTGAATTTTACTACGGCTGATACTGCAAGTAGTCGCATTCATGAATATTTTGAAAGAAAATATAACAGGTTATATTTTCCTTTCAAAACTGATGGAGGAAAGATCACAGATGAAGCATCCGCTGTTTCGGTAGTCCAATGAAGAGTCAATGATTTATGATACTTAATATTTTTATATTTATTTATGTATTTCAGCACCTCAAACAACGCCGACACCTACTGCGAAAGTCACCAGTAAGTTCTTACGTTAAATTTTCGATTTCCTTAATTATTATTATTATTTGATTAATTTTGTCATTCATGTAAAAGACCACGTTTTCTAACCCTGAGTGAGCCAAAACCTTCACTGACATCAGAGTCATTACGAGTATTACTGATTTAAATTAAAGGGCTTTAAATATTACACTTGCAATTTTAGCTAGAATTTCACGTGCAATTTGTTAACAATGATGGATGTGAACAAGTGCGTTAGAACTATTTTCGAGCCTAACTCCAGTTTTTCTCTAATGGAGCGAATTAGTAATAAAGTTATCAGTATATAAAAGCATAGAACGTATTATTATTTTAATCGATGGCAAAATACGGAATGTCTGCACACTCCTTACAGGCCACACAGACAAAAACGATATAACGAGAATGAAACTGACGTCTAATAGCTCCATCTCATTGTCTTTCTTGCGAATTAGCGCTCCAGGAGATATATATGGAGCTTGTTGAATCGCGTGAAAAGATGGCGTAACTAACTATATGGCGTATCCAAACCACAAATGCCGTTCTTGTAGTCGTATTCATATTAAGATCCAAAGCTCCCTATTTTCGAATTTCCAACGCATTATTTTCCACAAAACATATAGCAAATCACATTTATTACGGTGGCGCTACCAGGATTTTATTGGGGGGAGCAACTCAATAATTTGTGTCGTGTAATTCTAGGCGGTCCGTGCCCGTGGGTTTGCTCCACAGAAAAATGTATTTAACCACACTCATCTCTCCTTTTGGCGGTCCCATACTGATTTTTTGTTATTCAAACATAGAAAAACTGAACTCATAGCTATTTTCTTTTCACAGCAGTCACAGCTCAAAGCCCATGGTTTCAAATTAAAAATACAGCTTATAACAAGTGTCTAGCCTTGCGAGATATGTCACAATTGTCCTACGGTTTCAGAAGACTGGGTCCTACATTCACACTCGATACCTGTGATCAGAACTCGGCAAGACAATTATGGCAATGGACAAGTGGCGGTCAACTGAAGTTAAATCATAACGGAAAGTGCCTAACTTATGACCGGTTTAAGTCGGTTCATTTTCAACCATGCACGGCGTCAAATCGAAACCAACAGTGGTCGTGTGTCGGGAATAATTTGAAGCTAAGATTCAATACACAATACTTGGTGTCGTTTATGTATAGTGGTATGCCGTTTGGTTACAATGTCAAGACAGTGTGGTACTGTGCTTATGGTAGTTGTGCTTGGTCTCGTTTTGGAACAGGATTATCCGTTTGTGACAATGGTATGTTTCTTATGAAATAAATAACCCGGATTTCCAGTTTATTGTCACTTTTAATGTAAAGAGGCAGTCTAGTTGCATTCCTCGACAAAATGGTGGGGTTATCCCACGAAATGTATCAACGTTTCATAGACAATACTCAATTCACATGCAACTAAGCTTTAAAATAATCTGCATGAGTGAATAACTCTTATGAGTTATGCCTAATTCTAATGGCCTACTTAATTTTCTTCTCAGTCTATTTTTCTGTAAACTAAGATCAATCGTAACTAGAATCAATCGTAACTTTCTGTAAACTCAATCGTAACTTTCTGTAAGATCAATCGTCAGTTGTGGCTCCAGGAATTCTCCGACAAATGGTAAGGTCCTCGCCAGGGAGGTTAAGTTCGTACAGGCAAAAACCTTTTTTGGGGGAGAGGGTAATTTTCAGTCTCTCTTCACACAAAGTGATATTTTCCCTGACGGGGAAAGGGGGGGATACTAGCTTTCCCGACAGGGGGCTGTAGTCCCCCCCCCCAATCTGGCGCCACCGTTGGTATGTATGTTATCCAAATATGTAAACAACGCTAGTCAGATTTATCTATTGAAAAGCAAAATTTGGTGACCCCTTTTTCCTGCTACGGTGTGGAAAGCAGCAGTTCCGAACGACTTGTGCTAATTTGTCATAATGTGCGAGCGGGTTGTCATAATGTGCAAGTCCACTATGTTGGTATGATGATTCCGTAAAAATTGAAAATATAATTTGCGTTCTGGATAGAAACTTTGAACGTCACAAATATCTGGAAACAACGAATGACTGGATTCGAACACAAAGAGCAAAGTGGCATTTTCAAAACAATGTAATAGAACCTAATTAACAATTAGTCACTTCCGGCTCGATGAACACAAGACTACATTCACTTCGCTGCTTCGCAGGCTCAGTGAATATAGGCTTGTAATCAGCTCGCCTTTGGTGACTAATTGTTGATTATCCCATTATTGTCAGTTAATGTCAAATCCTATGCAAAGGTCTGTTGGAAGATTTTATATTATAACAAAATAATATAAATACTGTTTCTAGGGACGAAAAATCCTATCACTACCCAAATGATTTCAACACAAACCTCCACCACCATAGTTAATACACCTGCAGCAACAACTATCCCATCTACAACTCAGCCGCCAGTCCCACCAACAGACGACATAGGAACGCCACCTCTTCCACCAACAGGTACACTGGTACCCCCACCAATCCCTGCAAACACACCCCCCGTTCCACCATTTCCCGGAAATACACCCCCCGTTGTCACAACAACTAAACCTCTCCCGCCGCAGGGGAATAAAAAGATAAGGTGTGGAACCAAAGGCAGAATCGGTGGGGTAGTAAATGGCACAAGAGCAGCAGCTGGCAGTTGGCCGTGGCAAGTCGGGATTAAAAAATGCGCGCATTGTAATATAACGTGTGGTGGAACGCTGATAAATGATGAGTGGGTAGTTACCGCTGCCCATTGTGTATCGGGGTGGTTCCCAAATGAGTTGTATATCGTGATCGGGGAAGTAGACCAATCTACGAAATCTGGACACGAGCAAAGATTTAGATGCACGAAAATAATTGTTCATGAGGACTATGGAGTTAATGCGCCATATGACAAGGACGTTGCCCTAATAAGATTGGATACTAATACGCCGTGTATAACGACAATGTGCGTCCACTCTGCATGCCGGGAAGCGGGACAGTGTTAACAGAAAAAGATTCATGCACGGTCACAGGCTTTGGACGCGTTACTCAAAATGGTGTGAAATCTGCGAGACTCTTGCAGGCTAATGTGAAGATTGCGCCTTTCAATACGTGTGTGAAGGTAATGTTGTAATCCTCGCTAAAGTATAGTTGGCTTACGGTAGAATGCCATCATGGCCCTTCGTTTGGAAATTTGTTTTGCTAGGAACTTCAACGGGGATTTTTCAGTGTTTAGTCAGTTTTTTCATATTTGGCACATTTGCATATACAAATTGCCAATCTCGTCATCTTTGGCTGAAAAACATTTTGCTGTTGCCGTTGAGTGTTGGTAAATAAGAAAAAAAACAACAATATAAATAATAACGATTTATTGGCAAGCATCCACAGAATGGCTGTCCGCTTACCAACATATACAAGTACACAAAATCTATGAACTAAATATGTCGAATACTACTAGTACTGCAATATAACTGCATGTCAACGTTTTCGGCAGACAAATTAAAGTTTACCTATAAAATTAGTATATTGGCAATATTTTACATATACAAGTTAAATCGCCCATCACCCAAGTGGACATTTATCATGCATATATTATACGTCAACTTCAAATTGTCCAATCAGGAAGCTTAGTTTGTGGCACGTGATGAGTGACGAATAATTAAATTTTAAACGTAAAACCTGGGGCTTTTTCAAAATTTTGAAGCAAATTTTGAAAACTATTGCATTAATATTCCAAACCGGGTATGTGATTCAAAAGAAAAGCGACGATAGTTGCGTTAATCCAACTAATAAAATATCATCACTGAGGGTAATATTTCACCGAATCCCCCGAGCGGAGGGCTATAAATGTATATAATATACCGACAATTAAAACCCTCCAAGTTTAGGATTAAAAACTTGACACATACCCGTTCGTGAATACGATATTTTATTTTTGGATTAACGCAACTATCGTCGCTTTTCTTTTGTCAATCACGTATCGTTTGGACTTTGGAATATTGATGATAAACTTTTTTCAAAATTTGATTCAATATTTTGAGAAAACCCCAGGTATTAATTATTCATCACTCATTACTATTTAAATTTTGCAATTAGCCATTTCTCAGTCGAGAAGAGGACTGGGTCTAGTTGATGCTTGGAGGGACGTTTGGAGGGACAACAAGTCATTGTGAGCGAGCTAAATATGTATTAAAAGATGCCTTATTATAATTGTTGCGTTTCAGGCTGCACAAATAACTTTAAGAATGTAGGAGAACTTCCTAGATGCCATATTCGGCATATTGTTTATTTTTTGTCCCTCCAAACAAGCGACTAGACCCAGTCCTCTACTCGATTGGGAAATGGCTAATTGTCGGCCATCTTGTTGTCTTGCGTGTTGTCTCGCGTGGTGTACGCGAATAATGTTCAGCCCATGTTCTCCGGGAAACATGGGGTGGAACATTGTCAAAGGAAACGCAGGCTCGGTAATTTATTACGTAAGGCGTACCACAAGCTAAGATTCCTGGTTGGACAATTTGAAGTTGAGGTATAATACACATAATTCAGTGTAGAGTTTTCCGGAATATAATACAATTATAATTGTAACATTTTGTGTCGTTTTATAGTCGTGCGCAAGCTTGCTGAATCCCAGAAAAGTTACCAGTAACATGTTTTGTGCCGGATATAAGAAAGGAGGTACGGACGCATGTCAAGGAGATAGTGGTGGTCCTCTGACGTGTTTTGATCGCGGCAACTCCAGATTTATCCTTGGTGGAGTGGTGTCTTGGGGCGTAGGTTGCGCACAACCAGATCGTTATGGAGTATACACCAACACAGCATTGTTTACCCCATGGGTGCAGAAGAAACTTGCTGCTTTTGGATATTAGGCTTTTACACTCGTTCAAAATCAATATTGGGAATGAATAGACAAACGTTTGAATTCAGGGAAGAGGCCTTACCGTTTGTTCACTTTTCACCCGATGGCCTCGTTTTCGTGTCAAATACTTACTCGTGTTTTGTGCTTAGTATATAGGGTTGTTTTGTTATTTAGCCTAAGATCAGTCAGAAACAATTAAATCCGTCCAGGAAAATATGGGAATATAATCTTTATCTGCCCTTGACACGCTAAAATAAGTTCACATGGAAGCGAGGTCATTGGGTAAAAGAGAAAAATCGGTAAGGTATATTAATTTTGAAATCAGAATATTTCCAATGAGGAAAGCTAGATTTTGTTAAATGATGTGTTTTTATTTTTAAGCTTCCAAGTCTATTTTTAAGCTTCCAAATGAGTCTAAGAACGATTTGAACAGGAAAATTTCAAGAACCTCTTATAAAGCAACACCACTGACGATTTGAACTCGTCGTCAAATGCCGTCACTGCACTCGTCGACTCCATAGGCATAGTTTGTTAATTGTGTGTAAGAACGTGTTCACAGTTTGGCAAAAGCTAGTTTACAATGTCTATGTTTTATGTTAAATTTTGTTCAATTTGCAGTGTGTGGCTAATATTTTAAATAAATAAATAAATAAACAAATAAATAGCAATCTAACTTTCAAAGCAAGTATAAACTACAGTAAATGCGTGCATAATATAAGCCAAATCCGGCTATTCGTAGTCTAAATATGCCAATGTGGAGTGATTTTATAGTAAATGCATAAAATCACAGTAAGGGCTCCAATATTCATTACAAGAACCTGGATATTATTTCCTTGGCCGTGGTTTAACTCCGGCGCGCGCATCTTTTACATTTCACAGGCTAAATAGTACAAATTATTTAGTCCGCAAGTGCTTTAGAAATTGACCTAGATATTTTACAGTGCGTCTACAGTAAGTGGGGCCACTAACGCCAATTACAGAACACTAACCAATCACATTGCAGAACAAAAATAGAAATCTAATCAAATTAAAGCTTGTCCAATCAAAAGAAAGCATATAGTTCGCTTCAGGAAGCCAGTAACTGCAGTATTTACTTTTCAAGTCTATTTTTAGCGTTTGACATTTGTTCACATGTTCAAATTGTTTTTTGGCTTAATGCTGATTGGTTTTTTCTATTTTTGTTCCGCGATGTGATTGGTTAGTGTTCTTCAAGTGGCCCCACTTACTGTAGACGCACTGGAATGGTCATACATTTTGTAGAGTTTGACTAATGGTCGCGGGTCGCGTGTCGCGGGTAAAAAGTCGCGTGTCGCGGGTAGAATGTCGCGGGTCGCGGGTAAAATGTCGCGGGTAAAATGTCGCGGGTAAAAAGTCGCGGGTCCCAAAAGCTCCAAACCGTGTATTTTATCGAGTCGCGGGTTGAATAAAGTGTGTAAAAATCACGTTATCATTTAGTAAACAACCATATAGGATTGCTTCAATACGAAATATTGCCCAAGAGCCTTTTGTCATGATTTAATGGTTCTATATAAACGTGCCAGAAGCCTAAAACTTGAAAGAATAATTTCAATATGTTAAACCAACAATTATACCATGACAAAAATCCTCTGATCAAAAAATATGTTCTGAAAGAAACAAACAAGACTTCGGTAGAAATAACTTCAGTTTACCACTACTATTACAATCAGTTTTATACTAATTTAAAAATAACCATATAGTATCACAAATAATAGATATATCCATGCTAGGACATTATAAAAGTACATTATGATTCACCAACAACCCGGATATTTAAGTCGCTGTTCTGTAGCACTTGTTTCTGGAAAGTACTGATCGATGCGCAGAGGCTTGACGACAACGCACACTGAGCCACTGAATAGCGGATTTTTACGCCTGATATGGTAAGAAATTGGATCGTAATATGTATTACTAAAATCAAGACTATAAACATAGGAATGTGTAACAGGATCCTTTTGCACTACCGTCTATCAACGTGCTTTACAATAATGTTATATGGTTCTTGTCTAGTTTATCTAGAAACTCGCAATTGCAGCCATAACATCTTCGAACAACTATTGATAAAAACCATTAAATAACTAAATGTTAATGTGATTTTTACACACTTTATTCAACCCGCGACTCAATAAAATACACGGTTTAGAGCTTTTTTACGACCCGCGACTTTTTACCCGCGACATTTTACCCGCGACCCGCGACTTTTTACCCGCGACCCGCGACTTTTTACCCGCGACACGCGACCCGCGACCATTAGTCAAACTCCATTTTGTATTGTCTTCAAAAGTTGCTCATATCTCTGGGCGGGTGTTGAAAGACCTAACTCTTTGTCGTTATGTTAACACTTGTTGACGCAAAGTACAGTATGTTGATTTCAACAGCGCGTGGTTTGATATAAATTACTGCGCAAAATCACGTTTGCGGACAACACGCAACACGAAATGGCGATGAATCGTGTTTTTCAAGGTTTTTGCTTTTGCTTTCTTGTGTGTGCGCCTCTATTTGCGCCCGCCGTTTTCTTACCAGGCGGAAGATAAACGGGCCCAGAGGGAATAACTTAATTTGTATGTATATAATGTATTGGCAACTTTAACTCGAGGTGAAACTATAAAGGTATAAAAGACGGTGTAAATGGCTATAGGATTATTTAGAAAATACTGTGGAATATTTTGCCTTCAGATGTTAAACAACACGGACGGTCACGGTCATGCGGACTAAAAAGGAAAATCATACAGTTGACTTGTCTTATAATTCTGTGCAGTAGAATCTCCGCTAACAATTTTTGTACCTTAACACTCCTTCCTACAGTACCTACTGTTTAATATAAACGATCAATACTTTTTAAATAAAGTCAGTAGCAGATAAACAGTCTGTAAACAGTTTTTTAGTATTTGGCTAGTGTCCAAATTTGTAAGGTTTGCTGAAAGACCTTAGAGGACTTAGAGGTGCCAAGACCTGAACATTGAGACTAATCTCGAGACCTCTGTTGGAATTAACAACTAAATCAATGCAAAGTATATTCCGTTTCCAGATAACAACAATTTAGTGACAAATTATAAGATTATAAATATGTGAACTATAGAAACAGTGTGGAATCAAAGTGGCTTTAATAAGCGCGCCCAAGCCCTGTGAGAACATAAGAACTATTTAAAAGCATACGATTTAGCATACGATTTAGCATACAAACTTGAGAAGTATTTTGACGTATATATATAAATTCTCAAAGTTGACTGTTCTCACTCCTTGCGATCGAAGTGTAAATCCGGAAGTGGAAGCATGTGATATGATAGTTTTCCTTCACTTGACCATCTCCGACCTTGTGCTGCAACCTCCAAATCAATCTCGTCCCTACAGCCATTTTCACTCGTTGAAAATTAGGCTCTGAATGAGACGACTAAAGGGAGAGATCTGATTGACTTCCCAGAGAACTGCTATTTCCCAGAAGTTGAGCATTTTTCGCTTGGAAAAATTTTTCTATCAAAATATGTCAACACATATATTTCGTTTCTTCGTAGTACTTCTCTGTGAAAATTTTTACGGGTGCTGAAGACTGAAGTGTCCCAATTCAAGAGTATGCGCTTTAGAAACTACTGCAAGTTTTCTTGCACTTCCGGTTCCGTCTATCCCAGGGTCAATGAAGGTCGCGCGCGGCCGTGAGGCCCTGCGAACGAGGTTGCCTCCAAATGCGCTGAATGCCAGTGGCGTGAATACCAGTGCCAATGTGAAATGTTTTTTTATGGCAATGATATAAAATCACAATAATGGCTTCAATATTAATTTCCCGGCGCGGTTTAACTCCGGTGCGTAACGCGTAGGTGGGAGTATAGGAGGTTATACAGCTTTTAGACGCAAGTGCTTTACAAATTGACCTAGATATTTTAATGAAAGGTCAAACATTTTGTATTGTCTTCAAAAGTTGGGCATACTTCGAAACCCGGACCGGACTCGGACCCGGACTCGGACTCGAAGAAAATCCGGACTCGAGAAAAACCCGGACCCGGACTCGAAGAAAATCCGGACTCGTGTTTAACAAAACCCGGACTTGACTTTTGAAAACCCGGACTCGAAATAAGGCAAAACCGGATTCAAATCAAGGACTCTGTGTACGAAAATGCAAAGGTTTTTTGGAAAGGTTTAATAATTAGTAACATGATAAACGATGATCTCTTTATATCTTTATCTCGATATTTTTAATCTTCTGCTGTTAACAAAATAATCACTTAGATATACTGGAACCAAATCATTTAGGTACTTATAAGTTATTAGAAACTAAAATGTATTGATGCACAACGATCTACAATTAGTAGCAGACATGCCAACCTAGCTTGGTTAAAAATCGTGAGATTTGTGTTTTTCTTTTCCAAAAAAGCGTGAGAAATGGTCAAAAAGCGTGAGACAACAAGTAAATTGTAAAATATAGACTGTATGGCTTTTTTAAAGTCGTTGCTATCCACAAATAATATTACAGCCGATTCAGTTTGAGCGTTTAAGGTGCGTGTTTGTCGCGATCGTTGTTGACGTTGGAACGCGACGTTTCTAGCCGGGAAAACGGTCGTTTCTAGGTGTGCGATGGTTTGTTTCCATTGGCAAAAAAATACGTTGCTTTGATGTGGTCCCATCTTGAATTCGATCAGAATAAATTATCCAAAAAATAATTTATGAAATGTCAAATGTGTCCAATAAATTATAATAATTATTTACCATGTTTATTTATTGTTGGATTAGGCGATATAGTTAAGTTTTATAATATTATAGCGTTTTTTTCACCATTTTTTGACCAGTTATTTCTTGTAACTTTGTTGGTAATTATGGTAAAGCTTTTAATGAAACTTGTGGTGACATTTAGCGTTTAGCGTGAGATTCAAGCATGAAAGCGTGAGACTGTGAGATTGTGGTCAAAAGCGTGAGTCTCACGCTAAAAGCGTGAGACTTGGCATGTCTGATTAGTAGATAGGGTAGCATGTTGATTGTTGATTCTCAAAATAACGTTAACTTGATTTATTGTCAAACTTCATTGTCAGTATCGAGCCGCGGTTGTATGCAAGGCATATGGGGCAATTGATGAACGCATTGCCTAACGAGAGAGTCTCAATATCAAATTTACGCCAACCATCCAACGCGAATTTCACTGTCGGCCGCGGGTGCAGGCTTGCAGCTGTTGCTTTCATTGTGATGTGTTTTCTACTACTTTCGGATAAAGAATAATTGCGGGTGTTCAATTCGTGTTTATGGACTTTATATTAACGAAATAGAGAAAATAAACGTGTTTCCAGTAGCGTCTTGTCCAACTATTTGAGAGCATGTTATAATATCAAATTTATGTCCATCCGCCAACAACGCTCGAAATACTTAACAGTCGGTATTTAGGCGCGGTTGCCGCGATACCTTCATTGCCTTCAACATGAGATGTGCTTTTCCGGCGTTCTTTTCGATTGGTTGAAGTTATACTTTTGATTGGTTGAAGTCTAGTTATTTTTCGTGTCATTTTGCCGATAGTGAGGTCGAATATGTTGAGGATATATTTTACCCTTGCCGCCATCGATCACGTTGAGTCTGCTATGCTGAGTCAGATTTCAGTTATTAATTTATGTCCAGGGTAGATTTAGCTACTCGCAGGAGTATGTATTTTACAAATATGTTGTGTATGGTCAGCGTGGTAAATAAATTTTTAAATTAAGTAAGTAAGCAAGTATGTATAAGGCTAAATGATTTGTTTAGGTAGGCTATATAGTGATTGTTTTGTGAGGAACCATATAGTATGATAACTGATTAGTATCCTCAGATAACGCATAACACTTTATCCCATACCTGTGTTAAAAGCGGCTTTCTGATTGGGTTAGAGGAGGTGAGCTTGTCGTCTTATCCCATACGTGTGTTAAAAGCGGCTTTCTGATTGGTTTAGAGCAGGTGAGCTTGTCGTCGAGCTCACCTGCTTTTTGCCGAACTCACCTGCTTTTCGCCCGAACTCACCCGCTAAACTGCTTACGTTGCAATAACAATATTAAACAAATATGGCGGCCGACAAGATTTAGCCGATAAACCTAAACTTTAAAGAACTTTTTTCGGTGACTAACATACTGAGACTGAAGAAAAACCAAAGAAAAAATGCAGTAAAGGTAATGTAGACGTAGATAAAGAAGTATTTTCTTGCCCAGTGATTTTTTTGGCCGGGAAAATGTTCACAAAACATCGACGAATATATCGCGAAGAGCTACAAATCTGTGTATGGCTCGGTGTATGGGATAAAAACCAAACGTACTTGCAGGTTCGGTGAGTCCGGGATTGGACGCACCTCGGGTGGCTGGAAGTTTCCCGAACTCACCTCGCTTCGCCCGGTAAGTTCGGGAAACTTCCAGCCACCCTCGGTGCGTCCAATCCCGGACTCACCTCCCTGCAAGTACGTTTGTTATAGAGCTCACCTGCTTTTTGCCGAACTCACCTGCTTTTCGCCCGAACTCACCCGCTAAGCTACTTACGTTGCAATAACAATAACAAATATGGCGGACAAGATTTAGCCGATAAGCCTAAATTTAAAGAACTTTTTTCGGTGACTAACATACTGAGACTGAAGAAAAACCAAAGAAAAAATGCAGTAAAGGTAATGTAGACGTAGATAAAGAAGTATTTTCCTGCCCAGTGATTTTTTTGGCCGGGAAAATGTTCACAAAACATCGATGAATATATCGCGAAGAGCTACAAATGTGTGTATGGCTCGGTGTATGGGATAAAAACCAAACGTACTTGCAGGTTCGGTGAGTCCGGGATCGGACGCACCTCGGGTGGCTGGAAGTTTCCCGAACTCACCTCGCTTCGCTCGGTAAATTCGGGAAACTTCCAGCTACCCTCGGTGCGTCCAATCCCGGACTCACCTCCCTGCAAGTACGTTTGTTATATTATCTCATACCTAGCGTATTAGCGGCTTTCCTATTGGCTACGAGGAGGTGCGTTCAATCTCGAACCCATCTGCTGACGTAAGTTTAGGAGGTGGGTTCGAGATCGATGTTTCGGCGGCGGCCATTATGAAGCGATTTGAACAAATTTCAGACGAAGATTTAAATAAAAAATAAATTAACTGTTTTTAATTGTTTTATAATTATTATTTTTTTATTTTGTTTGATAAAAATGGAATATTCTGTATTCAAAGTGGAAGAGAGGAAAGATGGCCGCCGAAATTTGTTCGGCACGGGCAGGTTTATATAAATCTTGGCATTGTTTTCGCAGAATGTGTTCATTTTCTCTTTTGAAGAATAAGGGCGTATTGTAGAGAATTTTTTTAGCTTTAATTTAACCTAGGTTTGTTTGTTTGCGTAGCATGTTGGCGGCTAAAACGTTCGTTATCCAAACACGAAATTATATACTAAAAAGTAAAATGCGTATAAAATTCTTCAGTACCTTTTAGTATTTTACCGAAATGGCATGTGATAAAAACCAAACATACTTGCAGGTTTGGTGAGTCCGGGATTGGACGCACCTCGGGTGGCTGGAAGTTTCCCGAACTCACCTCGCTTCGCTCGGTGAGTTCGGGAAACTTCCAGCCACCCTAGGTGCGTCCAACCCTGGACTCACCTCCCTGCAAGTATGTTTGTTATAGAGTCACTAGTAGAAGAAAAAATATCTATATTTTTCGAAACCAAAGCTTATTGCTTTTGAAATAAAGTATTTTATTATATACAAAAGCGAGAAGAGAAAGGGGCACCCGCGCAAGAGCACAAATCCATTTATCCGCGAGTTATTACCGATAAAACCTTTGCATTCTCGTGCACAGAGTCCTTGTTTTGAATCCGGTTTTGTCTATTTCGAGTCCGGGTTTTAGAAGTCAAGTCCGGGTTTTGTTAAACACGAGTCCGGATTTTCTTCGAGTCCGGGTCCGGGTTTTTCTCGAGTCCGGATTTTCTTCGAGTCCGAGTCCGGGTCCGAGTCCGGTCCGGGTTTCGAAGTATGCCCAAAAGTTGCTTGTCATTTCTCAGGGCGGGTGTTGAAAGACTCGCTGTTAATTATAACTCTTTGTCGTCATGTTTACACTTGTTGACGCAAAGTATGCTGATTTCAACAGCGCGTGGTTTGATATAAATTACTGCGCAAAATCGATATTTTTCAGTCACGTCTGCGGACAACACGCAACCACGAAATGGCGATGAATCGTGTTGTTAGGTTTTTGCTTTTGCTTTCCTGTTTGTGCGCCTCTATTTGCGCCCGTCGTTATCATACCAGGCGGAAGATAAACAGAGGTATGTTTGTGTGTATGGGTTTTTATATTATATATAGACTATATAGTGTAATAGCAACTCTGAGGGAAGAGAAGCTATTATATGATGATGGAACCTGCGCAGCAGACGTAGAGTGGTTTGTAACCAACAGGTTGATTGAACTGAATTGTATTGAATTAAATTGCTGTCTATACTTTTACATCCAGAGTGTAATTCATCCAGGAAATGTTGTTATACTATACATCCAGTGTAATTCATTCAGGAAATGTTTATACATAAATTGGTCAATCCTAGAACAAAATATAGATAACCACAAGTTCCCAAACAATTTGTTACGTCCATTTTCGATAGCAAGATGAATTCCAGCAACAATTCACGCGGCAAATGATGGGGGCAGTTAAATAGGTATACAGTTAAATAGGTATAGAGTACGGATTTGAAAACTGGCATCTTTATCATTCTTCATCATTCATCTTTCCCTTATTTACATGTAGGTTAGCTTTATGAAATCCCTTTATCGTTTTGATTGTTGATCGGCAATTTGCATATGCATGCATAAGGATAAGCCTTACTAATACAATGACGCATAAATTTTAAATAGAGCAGTTCCGATTTGCTGCTCTAATCTAGCAGTTTAAATTTTGTGAAGCGCAAACGGATGGGACACATGCTGGAACAAACTTATGCCACAGAACCTTGCAAGGACGTAGGCAACATTACAATAAAATAATGCGATTAAAAACACTTCGGTTGCTATTGTCTGTACTGAGTCAGTGGTCAATGTACGATCGGTACGATAATGGAAATGATTAGCATGCCAAAATGGGGGATAGTTTTATTATTAAATTATCAAGTCATCTGTGTTCGAAATGTACCATATAATATATACAGTGCGCATCGTCGGATGAAAACAAGTATATCACTTTACTGCTCTGTCGGAACAGGTTTCTATATGAAATGTACGTTTGTATTGATACGCCATATTATTGCTGCCGAGCGAAGCGATGGCAGCCACCTATTCTTGACAACGTTTACAGTTTTTACTCGTGCCAGATCCCCGTGCGACTTATGTATTTTAGCCAAAGCATTTGAGATTTGTTTGTCGTTCGTTCGATCATTCGGGTCGCATTTTCTGACGTCACAGAATTCGAATGACGTTGTGTACAAATTTATATACGCAGGAAGTTTACGATGACAATCCGATTACTTCCGAAAGCTGCGTTCGGTGCGCCGTAGCTTCATAGGAGCTATGACATTTAATTTTGACATGACCATATGGGCCATATATGACATGATATATGGCAATAATAAAGTTGTATACTGATTCTGTCAAAAGATCAAGCCAACAAGGTATTGTATATCAAATTTTACAAATATGTAGGTTGTATGTCAATTAGAAAATTGCCAATAATAAAAATAGTTATATGTATTTATTATATTACAGTAAAATGATTATTAATATTGTTATTAATATGGGAATATGTTATGGAGTAATTAAAGCCGTGCATAAAAGAACCAGTGAATTTTGACTTCAGGCTGTGGTTCTTATATTATCTTACTTCACACTATACTTTTTTATATTCTACACGTTGTATTTTGGGTGCTTAATTGCCCAAATTTCAGGCTAGTGGATCTTAACCTACTGGTTCTTTTATGCGGGGCTTTACTGTATATCAAATCAATAGACCTTATGCATAATTACGTCTTAAGGCTTGATGTCTGTGAGGAATGCTGGTCTTAGTAGTCATCATTGTCCAGGAAAATTTCGATAGTGGCCATTTTGAACTGTTTAATTTTCCTGGGCGATTACTACTAAAGCCCTGGGCAAACTAAGAAACATTGTTGCGGAAACATTGTTTCTTGCCAATTTTTCGCCATGTTTCCCAGAGTGGGCAAACACTAGGAAACATTAGTGCGAAACATAGGGAAACATCAAATGTTTCTGAATTTGCTAGGAAACATATTTGCTTCTCGGGAAGCAAATTTTGTTCCCGCAACAATGTTTCCATGGGTGGGCAAACAGCGAAACATCTGAGGAAACATCACGAATCACAAATGTTTCCGCAACAATGTTTCCTAGTTTGCCCATAGCTTAAGACCAGCATTCCTCGCAGACATCAAGCCTTGTGACATCATTATGCATAAGGTCAAATGAGCAGTATGATGTCCAAATTGGAATACACAATTGTACACGAATGAAAAATTATCTGACTTTTTTCCATAATGCTCACAATTTCTTTCTTATTATATAGTTTTACAGTTCTGAGTACAATCTTAATCATTTGTAAAAAGAATGGTGTCATATGAAGCTGACATATTAAACAATTGCAATCTTAATCATTTACACAATGAATGGTGTCATATGAAGCTGACGTATTAAACAAAAAATGTCAACAAAATAGGTTTTGTCTCCCCATCGGCAGATTGTGCCGTTGTTCTGCGGTAGCCTTGAAGGGGCCATTAAAATGATAATTGGGACAAAAACTGACTTAATGGTAGTATTTCTATGTATGAAATTGTTATTAAATTCTACAAATCAAATGATTCATTCAAGTATGAATTATTATCGTTTGTTATATACGATATTGTACAGTATTGAGTGGCAAGCTAGCCATGACAATTGGTCATGATAAGCTAATAAACCTGCATCTATTTGAATAATGCAAATCATTAAAAACTTGCATCGAATGACCTGTAGACTTTCACAAAGTCCCTCATCTTTGTTTAGAACAAAGGAATTTTCAAGGAAGTAATTTCTTGAAGAGTAAGGAATTTGTGGAAGTCAATACAATTAGAATATTTAGCTGAGTTTCGATTTTGTGCAAAGTGTTTTCATATTCAAATTGCACTTTTCCTACCTCCTGAACAGTTGTCATAGGGGTGCTTTATGTGCTTATGTGATGGAAGGTGGGGGAGGGGGGGGGGAGCAGCACTTTCCTTGCGATAGTAATTTCTAGTATAGAGAATAATACATGGGTGCGCGGAAATACCAGATTTATTTCGAGTGTTGAACATGTTACCTCACGAGTGAGCGCAGCGAACGAGTGAGATATCATGTTCAACACGAGAAATAAATCTGGTATTTCCAAGCACCCATGTATTTTTCTGTTTATTATATAAACAAAATTCAGTGAAAAACAATAAAACGTCCGTGGCAATGCGTTTTACAACAAATGATATTTTCACACGTAAAAATATCGTATTTTTTACGTGTGTTTAAGGTGGCTCGATACAGTTTTCAAAAATTCAGGTGTTTAACACTTTGACATGTTCAAACTACGCATTTTTAGGATTTATTCAGCAGATATTGGTTTTTTTATATATTTTGATAACTCTACTTTCAAATTATATTAGTTTTAGTAACAGAGAGTTCGTTGCTATGACGACATACGTGTACGAAATTCACTCCAAAATGGCCTATCTTCTCGTATAGTTGGAAAAAAAGCATGGTGACCCCCAAGTTTTTTTCGTGCATTATTTTACTTGGACGAAAAGCTAACAATTAACAAAATATAAAAAATTCTGCAATGCCATTTTTTTGGAAAATGCGAAAATGTCATATTCTTCGGTAAAATTTTTTTGGCATTACAGAATTTTTATATTTTTTGTATAATGAAAGTTTTTAGCGGTACAATACAGCATGCAAAATTTGAACATAGGTCACCAGATAAAATAAAGAGATATAGCGCATTGGTTTTCTAAAATGGAAAATTCTAATGGCGTCAGCAAATGACATAAAACGCTATAGAACCCGCGCAATGGCGTGATATGGCGCGAGCAACCGCTGACGCCAGGTCATTTTGAAAGTTCTTTCATTTTGTTAATCAGTTTCCGCGACCTGCGCGTAAAAATGGTCACCCTGTTTTGAGTTCGCGATTCTTGCATGATAGTGATAACTATATCGAGCCACCTTAAATACGATTTTTCTCAGTGGCCAAAAACTCTATATAACACTTATGTTTAGCCTATATAATAATACATATTTATTACATATCAGTGACAAAATATCGTTTTCGTACACGCTTCATGTCAAATTTGTGTCTTTTTTTGTCGAAAACTATTATAATATATAATAGTAAACACAGAGTAAAACGCTGCAAATCATACCCGTGCGGTATTACAATTGTGAGTAAGACCGCCACGTACGTTTGATGATGCTTTACGATTGGCATATGGCTATGCCTGCATGATACGGTGCAAAAATCAAAATTAAAATGACGAAGATTCATCACCTCAGAAAGCGCAAAAAATGTATATTGTGTTCGTTAACATCAATTGGATTAGCGTTTGGTTGCATTGCACGTTGCAGTAGGTGGAGTATTCATAGGAAGTGAAAAAAAAACATGAAAATGTGAAATGTATACAAGTCAAACTTAGCTAGTCCGTATGGATCGATTTAACACTGTCAGCACGCATTTATTATTACGTTTATTAAGAGCATCATAATTGGAGTCAATGATATTTTCCATATGATATAAGAATATCCCATATCCCACTATAGCGCGTATAAATAATGAACAGTCCCTTATCTTAAAATCTTAAATACAGTCACTCAGTCAGATCAGTGGACAATATATTTTTTTTCTTAATGGTGTGCCAAAGTCCGTTCAAGATTGTAAATCGGATTTCCCTACAGTAAAGTCAGTAAAAGATGAAACGCTAATTCTATTCTACTGTTTCTAAAACTCTTATAGCTAATGGTTCGTGTAGAAATGCAAATTGGTGGACAAGTTTCGACAAAACTGGCTGGTCGAAATGTCCAGCTACATCTCCTTACATAAATGGTTTGTACAGAAGCAGAGCTTCACGGCCGAATCGTGACTATATTTATCTTTTGCAACAAGCCAAATGTTGTGGTAATGGGAGTCAGTCTAATGCTGAATGCGTGCAAGTAAATTGGGTTGCCAGCTTTGATAGGTAATTTTTATCCAATTTAAACATTTTCTTCATGAAATATTATACTATGTTTAATTCTACGTGATACTTTCTTCACTGACATATTACTACATGGCTGTGTTATATTCTTTGCGAAGAATTTCCATATCAAAACGACCCTGAAACCGATCTTCTATTTTCTCCAGTAAACTCATAGTCTCTTTTCGACACAGCAAAAATACCCGTGAAATCCGAGTTCATAGCTCCCTAGCTATCACAGGATACGTCGTCACAGAATGGCATGTTTCCTTGCCGGGTTGCCAAATGCAAAACCTGTCAATCGCAATACCATGTCAAAGCGGGGTAAGTATTTTTCGAGTTAAGCCCTTCGAGTTAAGCCCTTTTCGAGTTAAGCTCCTGCCACGCCATTTTCGCCGGGGGCTTAACTCGAAGTCAATTAGTATAGGTAATCATGCGATGGCGAGTACAACTGTACAATTAGGGATTAATAGTACGAGTTATGTTTGGAAATTTTGCCAAAATTGGACGACCCGCCGAGGCGAGTCCAATTTGGCAAATTTCCAAACATCACGAGTACTATTAATCCCTAATTGTACGAGTACTATTAAACCCTAATTGTTTATTATTAGCATGACAAAATTGGATACGTACTTCTCAATGTCAATTGTCAACATCATATTCTCTCGCCAAAGCCCAGTCCTGCCAGACTTTCAACCAAAATTTGGTGCTTTTGTTTGTATTTCATTTAGTTCTTTTGTTAAAGAAAAATTTGGTGCTTTTGTTCGTATTTTCATCTAGTTCCTCTAGGGCAATTTCAGTTCACGTTTGTGTTTAAAATACCTTTCCGCCATTTTGTTTGTTTTGGGAAAATCATTAATTGTACTGCAGCACAATTAATGAAATAATTGTACTCCTCTCAACCAATCAGCATCCAGTAATTTTGTCATGCTAATAATAAACGATTTAAGCATTCGAGTTAAGCCCCGACATTTGGTGGATGTAAAGAAGTGACGCGTGTAGCCTATATATATACACGTAAAAATATTGGCAAATAAGGATTGAGGGAGGATGTAAAATTTCAGCAATTTTAAGAAATATATTTTTCTAATATCTTTGTTGCTTTGCCTACAGTTTTATACAGACAATGATATCGTGAAATGAGATACCCTAGAAATGAGAGAACTCGATAAGGATTTGCAACAGCTCATTCAGGGCGGCAATTACGGCTTTAAAAAATAAATAATATACAGGTGTAGAAAAAAAAAGGTAATCGAACTTCAACGCGCTATTGTATCTGAACTACTCTGCGTATGAATGAGATTTTTTCATCTTTGGAAAGATCAGGCTTTTAGCTGTCGAATGATATGTTGTTCTTCATGCCAAATAGATAAAAAATAAGTACGAGTCCGATAAAAAATGCTAGTCAGAATCGCATATTTCCAGGAACTAGAACGCACTAGCAGTCCCACGCCGAACCTTCTGAGCTGCTGTCGAGCTCGTTGAAGTCCTTCTAAAAGACTCATTTTATATCACTCCAATGTTATAGTGCCTGCCAATCATTTAGTTTTTTCGATAACGGTGACCGGCTGCCGGTATTACTGACTACTATCCTTCCTGTCTGTTCTCTCTCTGATGGGTTCTTGGCAAGTGGAGTTACTCGGTTATGTCATGTAAATAGTCACCGGAAAACTATAAATGAGTTTACATAATATTCTAGTCATAGATCTTGTCGTTGCCGAGTAAATTGGTTAGGAAGGTAGCTTGCCTCCACATGAACATGCCTAAGATTTGCGTTCTGCAAGTGTCGCTATATATTATTTATTTTTTAAAGCCGTATAATTGCCGCCCTGAATAAGCTGTTGTTAGTACAAATCCTCATTGAGTTCCCTCATTTCACATTTTACATTCTCCCTCGACCTTATTTGCCAATATTTTTGCAAGTACACACGCGTCACTTGTTTACATCCACCAGATGTCGGGGCTTAACTCGAATGCTTAAATCGTTAATTGACTTCGAATTAAGCCCCCGGCGAAAAATGGCGTGGCAGGGGGCTTAACTCGAGCTTAACTCGAAGGCCGGCTTAAAGGCCATGTTACACGGTGCAATTTTTCTTGCAACTTGCAATGCAATCCTACTCTTGAGAGATGTTAATTAGTGAAATCAGTGAAGAATTTTCGATATGCTGAGAAAGCATCACCGTGGAAAACATCAGCGGAGTGTAATGAAGACTCGTATTTGGCAATTTTACATCTCTCAAGAGTAGAATTGCATTACAAGTTGCAAGAAAAATTGTACCGTGTAACATGGCCTTAACTCGAAAAATACCTACCCCGTCAAACCACCATCTCACGTGCACCTCCTCTCATGCTTTATTTTGGGGAAACTGGAAGATCTTTGCGGACAAGGTTTGGTGAACATCGGCGTGCAGTCATTGGTAATGATGCTATAACCAGCCTGTTCCAGACATTTTAATACTGGCAATCACAGTGTTTCAGATATGAAAATTCGGGCCCTCTGTCTCATTTCTGGTAGCAACGATACTCGTAAAAACATGAAATACGTACGTCTAGTCATTTCCAAACATGGCACTGTCCATCCTATGGCATTAATGCACGTTTTTCACTTTTTCCTATGTTTAACTCTTCTGTCTAGGTTTTCCTGTCAAAAGCAGACAGTAGTTTAAATTCTTACCTTATTTCTTACTCGCATGTTTCATCAGTATTTCATATATTTTGTTGAACTTACTGTAGTTTTCTGTATATTTTTATTAAGTTAATATTATATTCTGTGATGTGATGTACATTTTTTGTTCATACTTTGTTTTCGCTAAATCCATCTGACTGGTTTATTTTGTGTCGCGTGATGTTTTTATATTCTTAGCATAAAATCTCATGTAATTTTTCCGACCCCCGTTAGTAATTGCAGACGAATGGCCTTTGTTCGAAACGTCGAAATTCTCCTTATATTTACAGGTAGTTGCATCCCTTACCAATGAAAACTTGTTAATCCTTTATACCTACTGTTTAAACAATATTTGCTGCATCGTTTAAGCGAATGGAATGCCTCTACTCCATTTCTTTAAAACAGGCAGTTTTTGCACTTGTATAAAGATTGAAAGAAATTCAAAAGAAACAAATGAAATACTCCTGACTTTGGGTTACTCAGTTATAAATGGTATATACTGCAGTTATTTTGTCTTGAAATAATTTAGTAGTTCGTCTCAATTGTGCACGCCCAGCATGTACAGTACAACCTGCGAATGCTATGTTACGATTAACTGCAGATTCCGATCGTGTTGGTTTCCTGGATTTCTCACACTTGCGTTATGTGCCCGTGAGACAAAACGCTTTTTAGATTTTACTTTTTCTTTTCTTTTATTTTATTCTTATAGAAATCGTAATTGGAACTTATGTCCATCAGGATATTTTCTGTCTGGTCTTTACCGTTCACGCGGTCATAATCTGCGCAACATTGAATATGCGTGGTGCTGTAAACCTCCTGGTACTCCTAATTCCTACAAGTCGTGCTACAATGAGAACGTTTGGTCGAGATTTGACTGGAATCGACAAGGAATGGTGTCATGCACCAGATCTGGTTATTATATCACTGGCCTTTATCGATCCTCTTGCAACTATATGTATTGTATTGAAGAATTCAAATGCTGCCAATTGCCTGCTGCAAAAGGTGCGTCAAATACATGATAATACTGAGAGAATCTTTTCTCTGGTGATCACCCTTTAGTAAAAATGTAGTTTATCTACAGTTTTCTACTGATTTACCTGACCTCTATTTCACACTGCTTTAGTGTATGAACCGCGTCAAAAAATGTTACTATTATTCGTTTGTCTATTGATTAAAGATGCTGTACAGTCCGATCTTCGCATGTGCACAAAGGAGCCCACTTTTTATTATACAAACAGTTTATTTAGGTTTTCATTTCATTTTATGTTCTTGCAAAGCTTGATTGTTGTGTGTTGATAATTTATTATACTCTAGAATGATCATGAAAATATAAATAGTTGGATACCGAAATGTAAAGAATTTTATGTATTTTGGATACTGAAATGTAACATACGGACTGTACCGCATCTTTAAGGCTTGCGCTGGTATAGATGACTTGATAAGAGAATATAATAATAATACTAATCGGATTAGTACTCGGGTAAATTACATTACAAGACGCTACTTCGGACGGCTCCTTGCAATGGATAAACCATACCGAATACCGAATCTTAGTTTGCAGCGATAATCAATTTGCATGTGCCGTGTAAAGTGACAGTATATCTGAAGCGATAAATAGTAAATTAAAGTGTGTATGATTAACATTTGTTGCAAGAAACTGATAATTTACGAGATTCTCAATCAGCCAGTCGTACTTAAAAATGCGGCAGCTTCTAAACTGAAAATGTCTTACTTAGCTGATGGTTCCAAAAAATGTTCTGCGGACAACAAGAATGGGAATATCAGCATGGTTTATCGTAGAACAATCAGATCAGATGTCGCCATTTCCAAGATGCAGCTTTTATGACGAGTAACGATTGTTGAATTCCTGGATTTTTTAAAGGAAACTATGACAGGTTATTTCAAGTCAGAGGTAGCATTCGTTGTCTGTTCGGAAATACAATTTATCAAACAATCATGGAGTACATTTAGAGCCGCACAGAGAAATTCGAGGGCCCGGGGCAAATTTTTAATTTGGGGGCCCTATTTTTCCCCAAAAATGTTGGCGAGGGGGGAGGGTTAAAAATTTTTGCCGAACGGCATATCCAAAAAAAAAGGTTGAAAACTTTTTTTCCAGACAAACCCACGTAAAATTAAGGTTCAAAAATATTTTTCCGGACAAATACCTGTAAAATCACGGATAAAACACATTTTTTCGGACCAATAGCAGTAAAATTAGGGTCTAGAAGATTTTCTCATATCATTACGTATACAAATGATTTTTTTAATTACACCTTTTGCCCCCCCCTTTTTCAAATTTTGCAAAGGTCCCCATTTAACTGGGGCCCCGGGGCAAATTGCCCCATCCCCCCCCCCATCTCTGGGCGGCCCTGAGTACAATAATTATTATTTTCATATTTTATTCATGTATTTCAGCACCTCAAACAACGAGATCTCCTGCACAAGTCACCGGTAAGTTTTATATTAAACTTTCAATTTTCTTTATTTGTTTCGTGGAAAAGACTAGCTACGTTTTGCATCCCTGTGCACGAATTACCCTCACAGTACGAGCATTAGAGAGTTTTAATTTACACATGCATGCAGTTTTTGCTGCAATTTTAGCGCGATTTTGCGATCTTTACAAATTAGCCCTCTTGTGCTCGAATTTGTTTCCATACTTCCTCTTTCATTGGCCGTTGCCGAGTGAGATTGACGTATTACATACGAGTTTCGATTCAAACACCCACGAAACGTTTGTCGCAAGCTATGCTCCTGCAATTGAAAAAAAATTTTTTGCCTGTTTCTATACTTGCACATATGGCATAGCATGCCTGGCCCAAAGAGTTGCCCGAAGAGCAGGCTGCAGTACTGTGCAGAATGAAAGCCCCCAAAACAACAACAATAATTAAAAAAAGCTGTCCCTAACGATCCCCAAATGCACGATATGAACTACTGTATTTGAGTTAGGATATTGAACGTTGCGGCTAGAATAGGAATAGACTTAGAGTTAGGGAAAGGTCACAAGAGTAAGGATGATGCCATGGTTAATACTAGGATTAAAAGTCAAATGTGATTGTTAATTTGGAATTGCTCTGTTAATTTTGAGGTACAAGTACAACATCATCAAATTTGTTCCAAATTCAAAGTTCAGGCTATAATAAATGCCTGAAAGCGAGTTATGTAAGACGACGTGGGGTTTACAGAAAAGTCTTCAATGGAAGAACACACACTTACCGTTATGTAGTCACAACTAGCGTAGCGCTATCTTTGAGCGACTGCGTTTACCTCTCCAAACAGCAGAGCTGGCGCTGGACATCAGATGGACGTCTTCAGTCAGATTTAAATCAACAATGTCTTGCCGTGACCAGTGTTTGGAACGGGTATCTAGGTAAAAGATACGGAGCATCACTGCAACCTTGCAATTCTACCACGAGCGACCAAGGCTGGGTCTGTGATGGTGGTTATTTAAAACTGAAGAACAAGAATTTGTACCTTATACCATTCTTATACAGTGGGCGCCGAAGGCCTAGTGGTGGTATCACAGTAAGATCCAGTGTGACCAACAGCTGCCTGTGGGCACGCTATCGTACTTCGAAATCACTCTGTCGAAATGGTATGTTGGTCCATATGTGTAATACATAATGTTTCATTATGTTTGTGTACTATAAAACATCCTAAACGTATGTTAGTACTCATTATTGCCGGCAGCTGATATTATCAATCAGGACTGACTGACGAGCTTGCTTGCTGAGCCATATCTTTGATTTGTTCAACTATCTTACTTAAATGTACTACCGTAGCAAAACGGCGGGTACTTCCTATCGTCCGAAGAAATATGTCATATTTCGTGTATATACACTCAGAAATTGGACTACATTCTTGCGCTTGTTACTTTTAAAATAGGAAACAATTGTTATAGCCAAGCTCTGCATAGTTTATCGTAGAATAATCTGATGTTACCATTCCCAAGATGTAGATATTACGACTGAAGCAAGATTGTAGAATTTCTAAATGTTTTGGCCAGAACACAACACCGGAATCTACTGCGCAAGTCACTAGCAAGTTTTACGTGATATTCTAAACTTCCTTAATATCAGTTTTGAGGACAAGACCACGTTTACCATCCCTGAGCCCAAACTCTCACCAGCACAAGTCTTACAGTGCTTCAAGGCACGCTTACAGTGCTTAGTTCGGTGTACGAACCTCGTCAAAAAATATTACTGTCCTTCGTTCGTTCATTGATTAAGACTTGCGCTGGTATACTGTAGATGACTTGATAGGGGAATATAATAATAATACTAATAATGAGACTAGTACTAGTACTCGGATAAATTACATTACATGACGCTACGACGGCACCAAATACTGAATCTTAGTTTGCAGCGATAATCAATTTGTGTGCGCTGTGACGAAGTGAAAGTATGTCTAAAACGATAAACAATAAAAATGAGCATGATTAACATTTGTTGCGAGAAATTGTTAATTTAAGAAATTCTCAATCGGCAAATCATACTTCGAGTTAAGCCCTTTTCGAGTTAGGCCCCGACTACACCCAAACCACACCCATTTTTGTTAAGGCCTTAACTCGAAGAAAGAAACATAACTTGGAAAGTTCGAGTTAATCCCCGTGAAAAAAAAGGGCTTAACTCGAAGTCTTTTGAAAACATTCAACGCTCAAGTTAAGCCACGACATTTGAAGCATGTAAAAGAGCAATGGTTTGAGTAGTCCACAATATATAGCTGGAAATACAATAATTAACTACAAAGTACAAATAAATTTAAATACAGTAATATTGGATGCACCTACTTGTAAATCCTTTCCTTTTTTAAAATCACTTACATGTATATTCTGTATCAATAGTTAACCGTAAAGGAGTGTTCAGCTCTTTGGGTATAACCTGTCATTTATCTGACAAAGATTGGAAAATAAAATAAAATAAAGTAAAATAATCTCTTTTTATTCATGAGCTTCCCTAGCCTGCTCACAGACGTTGTAGTTCTTACGCCAAGCGACGAAATACTATTGTCTGCTTACCCGAGCTGCATATTCAATTCCCTTTGTTTTAGGAGCCAATCATATAGCGGTGTTCAAAAAAGTTAGAGCCAATTGGAAGCCGCCTTATTGAGAGATTAGCTACTGGGGAAAGCCCTTGCACATGCATTGGAATATATTGTTTGGGTTGAAACTCGAAATTTGTTTACTTGCGTGGATATATTTTGGAAACTATAGCGTTGAACTTCACGATGTAAACGTAGAATAATATTGCGATCATCTTCTCGCATGTTCAGCAAACAATCGGTGTATATAAAGTGCTAAAGCAATGCAGTAGGCGAAATTTAAATTTTTGTTAACAATGACAAACAATCAATCGGGAAACTCGAGTATATCAGGATATGTCCAAATGTTGCTCTTGATACTTCCTATATGCTAAAACTTCTAAAAGATTAAGCTCTCATTGTCATGTAGAAAAGTATAGCCAAGTTAGAGTATAAACGTTTCGGAGTTTGGGCGAATTGGAAAATTCATCACGGCGCAATTTTAATACAAGTTTCTCGGGTTTGTGTTGTGTTTACAGTTTACATTCAGAAGTGGTTGCTCAAACAGCAAATTAGTTTACTTTGAAGCTAATATTTCGCTTTCTAAGCCACAGTATTATATAAAATTTTCTGTCTTCCGAGTTCTGTTGTCTTATAAAGATAAACATCCGTCAAAAGTTCAAATTTCAGCGAAATATATTCGGCATTTGAAGCTGTCTCGCCTGTCTGGCTTCATACAGTTCTTAAATATGCCAATCCTGTCCGCGTTTTAAATATAACCGAACATCTTTAATATCCAAATCTGATCATTAATGGTGCATTTTATTACCTGGACAAGTATCAGTAACTTTAAATTCAATTTATGTGCAATTTTGACCAAAATTCAACCGACGCTGCTTTCAAAATATATATTTATATTTATTCCGCTCCTAAATCAACTGACGTCACTTTCCAGAATTTGGAAGGTAAATTCTGATTGGTCGACGTAGCGGAATTCAGTTTGGCGCTCAGGTAAGCAGACGGTAGTATTTCGTCGCTTGGCGTAAGAACTACAACGTCTGTGAGCAGGCTAGAGCTTCCCAGCTATGGTTTGAAAGGCGGCATACTTCAGATATTGGGCGCAAATAACGAATTGTTGCCGTATACATCTCCCAGTTAAAAACTAGTGAATCATTTAAGGATTCCAACTTGAACGAACCATATTTTTAGCATGAATTAGAATGTATCACTAATACATTTTAGAAATGAAGAAATTCGGAAATTTATAATATTATAAGCAACCAAATCCAACAGCAACGACAATGTAAAAAAGTTGTGACGCACTAAACGTAAAACAGCGTGGAATTGTCTATAAAGTCAGTGACATACCAATAAATCCATATGCTGTCAAACCGAATTGCTGCAACCAACATGTAAACCTACTGGCCAAGCATTTGATAAAATCGACTTGGGATATGAACAATTAATGCCATTTGGCTTTCGATCTACGTATTTGCGTCGCTCTTCATGGCCAACTATTGGTTATAATGGTCATAATAGCCGAGCCATTTATACCAGCAATAATAATTCGCGGCTTTATTTCGCGTAGGAAGTCGATTTATGCGTAATAAGCTCAAAGGTATAAAAGCTAGTCCAAAACAATCTATTACTTAATGTAAATTTGACTGTTTGTACGAGTTGCTCGTGACGCATTTAAGCTGCAGCTTATTTAGGCCGAGGCGTTAGATTGTGGACGACTCGAATCATTGCCCTTTTACATGCTTCAAATGTCGGGGCTTAAATCGAGCGTCGAATGTTTTCAGTGACTTCGAGTTAAGTCCCTCTTTTTTCACGGGGCTTAACTTGAACTTTCCAAGTTGTGTTTCTTTCTTCGAATAAAGCCCTTGACGAAAATGGGTGTGGTTTGGGCGTGATCGGGGCTTAATTGGAAAAGGACTTAACTCGAAGGGCTTAACTCGAAGATTACCTACCTCCTTAAAAAATGTGTCAAATTCTAAACTGAAAATGTTTTAATTGATGTCTCCGAAAAAGGTTCCGTCGACAACGACAATGGGAATCTCAGTATAGTTTATCATAGAATAATCAGACGTCGCCATTTCCAAGATGTAGCTTTTACAACGTAAGCAACATTGTCGACTTCCTGGTTCTTTTGAAAGGAAATATGACAGGTTATTTTGAGTGAGAGGAAGCATTCGTTGTTTTCATAGTATAATGAAACAAACATTGCATTATAATATTCATATATGTTTATGTATTTCAGCACCTCAAACAACACCGACACCTACCACGCGAGTCACTAGTAAGTTCTACGCGAAGTTTTAAATTTTCTTATTTGTTTTATGGGCCACGTTTCGCATCCCTGAGCCCAAACCCTCACCAGTATACAAGTATTACGCCTGTATACTAAAGGCTCATTCAAAGTCACACTCAATGAGTGGAAGCTTAATCTGAGCTTCTCTCGAGTGTCATTGCTGTTTTTGAAAAGCTGTAGGGCTAGTTTCATACCTGACTATGTGACTACTCACACTCCGGCTATTCAAAAAAAAAATTAATTGACACTCAAGAGAAGCTCAGATTGAACATCCATTCATTGAGTGCATGTGAGTGTGAATGCGAGTGACAGTGTTTAAGGCCGTTAACACTTGCTGCAACTTTAGGCGTGATTATCTTCTTCTTATGCATGTGACCTCGGTGGATAAGTTATGAATGTCATAACTCATCTAGTCAATCGTTTACATGCATCAAAAGTTGAAAATTGCACCAGGAATCGCAGCCAAAATCGCTAATGTAAACGGGAATTTAGGATTCTAGAAAAACTTAATTTCAGTTACTAACCCTAGTCAAAATGATTTAACCCGCATAGCTAATTTCTCTTTTACAGCAGTCACAGCTCAAAACCAATGGTTTCAAATTAAGAATACAGCTTATAACAAGTGTCTAGCCTTGCGAGATAAGTCACAGTTGTCATACGGTTTCAGAGGATTGGCTCCTACGTTCACACTCGATACCTGTGATCAGAACTCGGCAAGACAGTTATGGCAATGGACAAGTGACGGTCAACTGAAGTTAAATCATAACGGAAATTGCCTGACTTATGACTGGTTTAAGTCGATTCATTTTCAGCCATGCACGGCGTCAAATCGAAACCAGCAGTGGTTATGTGTCGGAAGTAAATTGAAGCTAAGGTTCAATAGACAATACTTGGTGACGTTTATATATAGTGGTTTGCCGTTTGGTTACAATGTCAAGACAAGGTGGTACTGTCCTTACGCTAGTTGTACTTGGTCTCGTTTTGGAACAGGATTATCTATTTGTGACAATGGTATGTTTTGTATGAAATATATAAGTTGGATGTCTATAATTTTATTGCCATGGTTAATGTATAGGAAGCAGTCTAACTGCAGTCCTTGACAAAACGGATGAAACGGCCCACGAAATATATAAACGTTTATGTACAGTGCACGCGCAATGCACAATGGACCTATTCCCTAATGAACAAAATTTTGATCTAGACAAGTCTAGACAAAAATTTCATCACAGCTTGAAAGAGCGTCACAAAATTAGTAATATTCCGAAGTTTCGTTGCGAAATGTCGTAAAATGCGGATAATATAGCCCTGCGAAGTTTGCCGTTTTTCAGTCATTTTGTATTACGCGCGGGAAATTGATACCTTTTTTCAGAAAGCGGTATCAATTTCCCGCGCGTAATACAAAATGACTGAAAAACGGCAAACTTCGCAGGGCTATATTGTCCGCATTTTAGAACATTTCGCAACGAAACTTCGGAATATTACTAATTTTGTGATGGTCTTTTAAGCTAGACTTGTCTACTCTTGTCTAGATCAAAATTTTGTTCATTAGGGAATAGGTCCATTTAGAACTTTAGGAACTCCTAGTTTGCAGAATCATAGAATCAAACAAAGATGACTAAAGCCTGGTTTTCATGTGGCCGTATACCGGTCATAAAGATTGAGTCACGATCTTTCTCATCAGCCGAAATACAACATTTGAGAACTGAAAATACGCGGACTGATTACAACTATAGAGAATACTTATGATTTATATGTGGTTTACAAGAAGTTTTGTAAAACTAAAAGAACAGATAAACTTTTACTTTTAATTTTTTTTTAGCCATTATAAATTTTAACGAAGATGTATCGTACATGATATTATGTAAATAAGTCGTTCATTCAGTATTAAATATAACAAAAGTTATAAATGTTTCTCGGGAACGCAACAACGACGACATGCAGATGCTATGACTACACAAATTATTTCAACCCAAACCTCGACAACCATAGTTACTACCGCTAATACACCTGCAACCACAACTATCCCATCTACAATTCAGCCGCCAGTTCCACCCACGGATGACATAGGAACGCCACCTCTTCCACCAACAGGTGCATTGATACCCCCACCAATCCCTGCAAACACACCTCCCGTTCCACCATTTCCCGCAAACACACACGCCGTTGTCACAACAACCAAACCACCCCCACCGCAGGGGAATAAAAAGATAAGGTGTGGAACCAAAGGCAGAATCGGTGGGGTAGTAAATGGCACAGGAGCAGCAGCTGGGAGTTGGCCGTGGCAAGTCGGGATTAAAAAATGCGCCCATTGTAATATAACGTGTGGTGGTACGCTGATAAATGACGAGTGGGTAGTTACCGCTGCCCACTGTGTATCGCAGTCGTTCCCAAATGAGTTATATATCGTGATCGGGGAAGTAGACCAATCTACGAAATCTGGACACGAGCAAAGATTTAGATGCACAAAAATAATTGTTCATGAGGACTATGGAGTTGATGCGCCATATGACAAGGACATTGCCATAATAAGATTGGATAAATACGCCGTGTATAATGACAATGTGCGTCCACTCTGCATGCCTGGAAGCGGGACAGTGTTAACAGAAATTGATTTATGCACGGTCACAGGCTTTGGACGTGTTACACAAAATGGCGTGAAATCTGCGAGACTCTTAGAGGCTAATGTGAAGATAGTAAATTTCAATACGTGTGTGAAGGTAATGTTCTAATCCTTACCACTCCATATTTGGCTTATACTAAAAGGTTCTAAAATGTTGATTGAAAAATGTTACTAGCTTGAAAATACGCAACCTCGTTCCCAGGGTCTTTCTTAGAACGGCGCGAGGCGAAGGAAAGACCCTGGTTTCGGCTGGTCACGTGTCACCCAGATTCTGGGTGATAAATTAAAATGATACTATGGGCAGGGTGGGAAAGGAGCGTGTTTGTCGCGTTTGTAACAATATTTGCAATTTTGTGTGATGAAATTTAAATTTGCAACAAGAAATCGTGAAGAGAACTGCAATTAAAAATTAATATTTATCGTGATGTGACTTTCTGCTCTATAATCTAGTGTCGAGTTACAATTCAAGCAAGTTGGATCAGATTTCAACTTACAAAGAAAGCACGCCTGGGCGGCGTAGCAATATTTATAAGCCTACAAGAAAATTCATATCTCTAGACCAACCAATGTGGTTTATATTTATTTAACTGTTAGTATTAAAGTATATCCTGATACTCGGACCAAAAGAATATATTTATTGATGAGATGTGGAATTGGAACGAAATAGCGAGATCTTTTGATTTCCGAAATATCGCCAAGACGCGAACTGTATCGAGATTGTTGATTATATTAAAAGGCCTTATCACAAAACTTAAATCCTGTCAAAATACTATAAAATTTCCGTGAAGTGAAACTGTTGGAATAGTTACAGTTTTACTTCACTTTCATTAGAAAAGAATGCGTGAATGAAGATTACGGTCGAACATGCGTTTGGGCGGATATCGATACCAAATATTCGATATAATCTTAGTCTGTGCCAGTGTAGGTATTGTGCCTGTAATAACAACATTTTTGTTGGTAGGGGTACTTGAAAGTACTCGTATTTGAAAAATACGATACCTAGGTCCAGAACATGTTGTATCGACATTTCATGCGTTTTGGTCAAGCACACACTGAAGACAAATACGAAGTGTAGTGAAAGTTTAGCTACTGTAGGCTTTATATTACCAATGATTAATTATTTGCCATATTTGGCACATTTTCCAATCTCATCAACTTTGGCTAAATAGCATTTTGCTGTTACTGTTGGTAAATCAGTTACAGGAAAAGTGCATTCTGTTCTTTCGCTTATTGTTATATGCTTACATTGCAGAAATATCGGTATTGATATCGAAATGGAAAAAAAATGCATTAATAACGAACCAGTATCCTATCGACAAAAAAAGTGGATATCGCCTATCACTAAAGTGAATACACAAGACTGTAGAGTTTGCCAAAATATGATACAGTTATCTGCAGTTTTACTAATATTTTATGTCATTTTGTAGACGTACGCAAGCTTGCTGAATCCCAGAATAGTCACCAGTAACATGTTTTGTGCCGGATATAAGAAAGGAGGTACGGACGCATGTCAAGGAGATAGTGGTGGTCCGCTCGCGTGTTTTGATCGCAGCAACTCCAGGTTTATCCTTGGTGGATTGGTGTCTTGGGGCGTAGGTTGCGCACAACCAGATCGTTATGGAGTATACACCAAGACAGCATTATTTACACCATGGGTGCAGAGGAAACTTGCTGCCTTTGGATATTAGACTTCCACGTTCACAATACTAGCCTGCCCGCTGATCTCAAAAGTAGGAATGCATAGAGCAACCTTTCTTTAGGGAATTAATTTTGAAGCCAGAATAACTATAATGAGGAGAGATTTTCAAATCTATCACGTTCCTTACTGATTAAATTAGTTATGCTATGAAGCAAATTTCTTCTTGTACGTAACTTGAAAGATATACAGTAGCTTCCCAGACTTCTTCTAATGAGTTTTAGAAAATTTTGAACTTGAGACAATTGAGACTTAAGGTGCCATATTGATGTGACATCATTAATTATTCAGTTGGCATATTTCAGAAGGAAGAGAGGCCGCTAATAACCCATTTCTTTCAAGGCAATATCTTTTTATTCCAACCAAACTCCAAAAAAAATTAAGAACCTCTCCTAACATGTCAGCAACATGACTGCGGTGGTTACAATAATATGGCCGCCATTCGCTTCATTTATTCATAGACGCTCAATCAAATTTGAGATCAGTGAGCGATATTCACGTGTATAGTTATTAGTACTAGATTGTAGTTTGGAAAAGAACTTGCTGTTTATGGATATCAAACTTGGGGGGTTACACAAATAGCCTGATTAAAAAATTAAACAAATATTCGATTTATACTCGCACTTACAAATATTATAATGGGGCATATAACTTATAAGGACATTAGATTCTAGTTAAATAGTAATGTATATTAACGAGTGGATTTCACAAAATTAACACGAAATTTTCAAAATAAACATAAAATGTGCAGATCTTTTTCTGTAGTATTTTATTTTTAATCGGAGTAATAAAGCTATTTGATGCTAGTCTTGTTCAATGGCGAATTTAGTGACTTTACTTTTTTTCATTGAAGCTCGCTCGAATGGGCATCATGCACACCAGCTGGCAAATTACATTCGTCGCATCTACACTGTATACAATATAAGCTACAGTAACTTGGCCTTTTGAGTGATTATAAAGTGTAGCTAATATGTTTATTTTACATTTAACTCGATCTAACATCGGATTATTTTATTATATTAAAATGATCAAGCAGAAAACGTGCAGACGTGAAGGTAAATCAATTTCTCAATGCAACTCAATGGAAAACAACTCTGAATAAATGGCGATTTGGATTGATGTGCCCTTACTTTCTGAGTGCCCTCTACATTTTCTATTTCAGAAAGTCCATTTCCAAGTAACGGTCTAATGCTCACAGGCAATAGCCTGAGAACAAATTTCGGGTGTACATCCTGCTTAGTATCAAGTCTTTTGACCTAGCTTGGTTTTCACATTCTGGCTACCGTTAAGTAAGTTTTTTGGGCCGAATTTTTAATTTAAATAATTTATTGTTTTGGCGTGAAAACCAGAACGGTCCGGTTCCCTTCAGAGCGGGGCGGATGACAAAAACAGGTCGTTCTGAAGCCAATCAGATTGCTTCATTTTCAACGATAAGGGATAAAACAACACGTCTGTTTAGTATACGTTATCATCAGATACTTTTCATAAAAGTATCATTATAAACGTTTCCTTATTAAACAAGGTGCCTGTAAGTCGTGATCTGTATATGAGTAGGTGATATGGTTTCGATATTCATGCATACGTTAATTAATTCCTAAAGTTTGTACACGTAAAGTTTGCCACTTAGAAAAACTCTTCAGCCAGTTAGATTACTTCATTTTCAACGATAAGAAATAAAACGACATGTCTGTTTAGTATACGTGATTGTCTATAGACGTAAGTCTATAGACGTGTGTATCAGTAGTCGATATGCATGTTTTCCATATTCATACGTTAATTAATTCCTAAATTAAAGTTTTGTACTAATGAGTCACGTTTGAAAATTGAGATTTGACAAAGATTATGCCAAGCTGGTGAATGGAAGCTGTAGATTATGCGTGTCATTGACAGCACACACTGGGTGTTGCAAACGAATTAAACAAAACTTTTTGACGAACATATAGAAATAACAAATTCATGGACAGGCGAACGTGCAAAGCTAAATATAGAAACGCTAAAAAGTCCGGTTTAAGAACGATTAGCATAATCTTCACGTAGTTTGTTCCTAAAAAGCTAAATTGAGAATAGTGGAAATATTAATGCCACATGCCTGTATCTTAAAACGCCCAATAAATAGATTTGGTACTAGAAATACATGCATACAACAACCCCTCGTCCTTATTTTCCAAGTATTGATTCAACATCAAGCGCTAGTAAGCACGTTTCATTTGCCAAATTAGGGTTATCATTAGGGTTGCATCAATTATGCGAAAGGCCAGATGGCCGAAGCGCTAAGTGCTTGCAATCTTACCCAAGAGTCAAAATATTAATAAAATACGAAACGTCTATAACTATAAACTCTAACTTTATTCATACTAAATAGCTCTTATTAGTAGTTCTAGACAACTACTTCACGTAAAGCTCTAGCTAACTGCATATTCACTAGAAGAGGAAACTCACAAACTTTTCTCCCTCAAGGTCACTGAGCACCATCATTGATTGCTTCAATGCAGTTACTAGACAGTAGGAAAGCCAATAAGCCAAACTAAATTAATTAAAAAAGAACAAACTTCGACGTTCACAAACGTTCGCTCGAAACGTCGAAGTTTATCTTGCACTCCTCAGTGAGTTGAAACTTTGAACGATACACGTCATAACCAAATTAGACATCAGTTTTAAACTGTTCTTCTTGGAGATCCAATAGAGAGCGCAATATTACTATAACATAAACGCCTGTAGGGTGTGTTTGACTTTTATTTTAACTGAAAACTGGAAACTGTATAATATTGTATAATATATAATCGTGCATGCAGTTTCTAAGTCAGACAGCATATACATGTCTGACTGTTTTCACACTATTACATGAATTTGTTTTTTCCGATCCCTTTTTCACCTAATAAGGGAAATATATTTTTTGTACATTTTTTATTTTGTTCTTGCATTTGTTCTTTTGTTCAAACAGCCAACACACATATGATGAACATATCCAAAAGTTTAAAAACAGGTACATCAGTCACATATATACGTGTAGTGCCAATTCACAGACCTCACATGGATATTATAACATAAACCATCAGAAGCCACACCTTAGGAATTAGGAATGAACAAAATTGTAAAGTCGAGATGGCTACATAAAACTTAACTAGAAAGCTGAAAGTTTTACTCATGTGATCCAGACTAGGATTGTTCTCGTCGACTTACTTTAAAGCCTTTAATAATTTTCATTCCCTCGTTCCGTAAAAGCTTGTTTTTCCAGAAAAATATTAAGCAGTTAAACGTTGAATTCATTGAGAATATAGTTGTACTCCAAAGCCTTGCAAGTTTTGCCTGAAAATTGCATATCGTTAGCTCTTTCGAGGAATAAATCGAATGTATTCTTAGCCCAAAATAAGCGCACACTGGAATTGATAGCACGGCAAAGCAACCGACTGCCAGGATGCAACTCGATATATGTTTCCAAGAAAACGTCCTTTTCATCCACGATGTTATTCTCCTATTTCTATCATATTTTCTGGCGATTGTGAACAATTTGTAGTTGATGAAAATCATTAGGGGAAAGAGAATAATAAAACAAATTAATAAAAAAACTGTATAGGAAATAACGAAGTTGTATATAGATATCAGCGCCAGAGTTTGAATCACGATACTTAGTAAGGCAAAAAGAACTAAAAGTCTTCCCTTCGTTACCGATGTTCGATGAAAGATAGGATAACATGTCGCCAAATATCGATCCAAATTCATGACGAGAAGAGCGAGCATAGAAAAGGCAAGAAAAGTATTTGATAAACTTAAGGGAATATCCAACCAACTAGGGTACTCTTCAGACGTGTCGCTCAACCATATCATCGCAGTAAGCGCCTTCGATGGGTGATTCGTTAAAACCGAAAGCAGATCGCAACAGGACAAAACCATTATCGTGAAGTAACATAATTTCTTTCGCAATAGCGAAGACTTCCACAAGCTGAGTATGACCAAGGAATTTAAACATATTCCTGACAAAAAGAACAATACGTTGACAACAAATATGACAATGAGGTTGACAAATGTGAGGAAATCCATCATTAAGGACTTCTTCTAAAAAATTGAAGGCGAAAAATAACACCGTCGTGTTTTATTAAGTACTTAAGTATATGTCATATCTTAATTAGGATTCAGACTTTAAAGATAATACAAAGCACATGGATATCTAGTTCTCATTATAGTTAAACACCTGCATTAGCAGTTATTAGTTTACAGTTTCGAAAAACAACTTGTGAGTAGGTCGAAACAAATAAAGTGAACAAGATTGTCAATGAATTTCAAGATATATACTAGAAGTACATGCATGCAGAAACCCCTCGCCTCAGTTGCTGGCAAAACCTTTATAATTTCCGAACATGACGTTTTTAAAGTAGTAGTTGTCATTGTAACACCATAATCCTAATAAGAATATTTTTGAAAATTTTAAATTTAAAATTTTTAATATTTTTAATATTTGAAATTTTTTTTAAATATTTTTAAATATTTGACATATTTTTAGCACTGATGAAGATCTGGGCTTACGGATCGAAAGCTTTACAGTAATAAATTTACGCAATGTTTCCACACACAAAACTATTATAACTTTTATCGCCATGCAAACGTACCTGTACAAAGAACTTTTAAGTTCTAAATAATAATATTAATATTATTATTATTTCAACTTTTAAATATTAAAATATTTTTAAAATTGAAAAATCCCCTAAAATATTTTTTTATTGGAATTACTCCTCAAGGTTCTATCATGTCATTTATATCCAAACCTTGGGGAGGGAGAGTAAGTAATCATCTAACAGAAAATTCCGGGGTTGGTGAAGTTTTGATTCTAGATCGATCTGTCACTGTGAAGTGATAGACAAAATCCTTGTTCCAAAGGTCTATCAGGGTATACATGATTTACTCCTCTCAGCCTGGAGCCAGAATTCGTATCCTTCTCAGGCTTCGAGGAGTAAATCTTGTATACCCCTCAGTCCTTTGGAATAAGTGTTAGTATCC